GATGCCTCCCTTCTTTCCCGTCATTCTGTTTGTTGGCAACTGGAACTGATCGTTCAATGCGAATCTCTGGTGGCTGGTTAAAATGGTGGTGGTGAAGTGTGCGTGTTGTTTTAAAGCTAGTGGAGGGGGGCTGTGAAAGGGTAGATGTGTGTCTATAATGTAAACACCAAACAGGCCTCAGATAAGAAGGGGAGTGGGAAACGGTGGGGGCCAGAAGCAAACAGGCTCGTACAACAGGAATAAGCCTAAGCAGAATGTAAAGAAAATACAGACTTTGAAACGCTGTTTACTGTAGATTTATCACGATATATCATAACACCCCTTTCAAGCATTACATAGTCATCCCTGCATTTTACACAGCTGGTAAAAACACATTTTATATTTTAATGATAATTTTTGAATCCCCTGTTGCCTGTACAAAGACTATAAGTATCAACTACACAATTGCTGTGAAAGTTTATCATTAAACAGACTATATTTGTATAAAGGAAATGACCAGTTTATTGCATCTTACAGTATACGATAAGGTGAGCAAGCTACCATTATTTAAAAAATGTGTACCATCCCTCCACATCACCGTGAATTAAAGAGTACGATGGTTAACAGGATTATCTTACCACTGTTCTGATCTGCAAATGTCCAGCTAGCTTTGCTTTTCCCTCCAAAATGACAAGAATTTTTACAACAAACATTCCCTAACTATTCTAGTCCATTCCACATTAAACAGTTATACATTCTGTACCCACTGTTTTGCCAAAGAGCACAGTCCACTCAACAATTAGGCTCGCACCATAAACCCCAAGGACACATGAATAAAGTTCACTGTCGGCTACAGGCTTGTTTTTGCCAGCATTGCATTCTATCTGCCCCTCAGAACTAGCATATTCTGCGCCTGCCAACACATTAGACAAGTGTCATAGGCTTAATAAATGTTGATTCATGTGCAGTAACTGGTAGTAAAGTGTGTGGGTGTTAGGTTCATTTTCATGGTGAGTTGATCCTTATCCTGTTGCATGGCCTGTTTCCAGCTCTGACACCAGGGCTGGATCAAGGTGTTCTGCTAACAGGGATTTATTTTGCTCTGCAACACCCATGTCAGACATGCACCCTGGCCCAGCCATTTTGTGTCTTCAGATGCTCCAGTTCTTCACAGTAAGCTGGCTTTCCGTTTGGAAAGCAGGCGAGTGGAAACTATAAATCAGAAACACTTGACCCACTAAATCTATGGGGCTCAGAATTTGTGGCAGTAGTGCAGAGACATAAATAACTGGCATCGTAACAGAGCTCATGCTGGAATGCAATTTAAGGAGGGACTTTTGACTTTAAGCTTCTTTGTGGTGCAGATTCAAGTATTGGCATATATACGTGCAGGCTATAATGTGACTGCATGTTAAGAGGATGTGCATTTCAGGTCAAACTGAATTAGGTAACAATGATATTTTCATCAAAATGAAATAAAACATTTCTAATAAGGGGTAGGCAGTCTGCACAGAGTGAAAAAAACATTTATGAGTCCTGTAAAAAAATACTGCTTATTCATTGTAACACTTAATAGAAAGGTAATAAACCTAAATGGACACCCTAAATACAGCTTTGGCACCCTCAAGCCCAATTAGCTACCTTGAGAAGCCCAGCTGTGCGTCACATGTGTGTACCTCTCTCCCAAACAAACTGAATTGCTTTACACAAGCTTTAAGAGTCATGTAAAGAACCAGGTGGGTATACGAGCTCTTAGCTCTAGGGAAAACAAAGCCCTTGTGTCTACTAAATCGCATGGTCTGAAATTCTTAGATCACGTTCAGACAACATATGTCGATCATCCAAAATTTCCGACAGGCCCATTAGACTGCTCTATTTCGGTGATGTTCTACTGCTTTAAAATACAAGCGCATGTTATGCCTACTCAGGATATCCTGCCTGTGGGACTACCACCCTGTTCCACTTACATCTGTCCTCATTTGATGCTTCTGGAGCTTGGTCAAGACCCACATAGACTCAGTTACCCAAGGCAAACCAGATAATCCAGGCCTTGCATTAGGAATGTGATAATCTAAGAGATCCATCACCTTAATTCCACAAACCGTGTCTCACTTAGGCCAAAGGGAAACACTGTACCCCTGAGAATATGTGGATTGTGACACGGCAAGTTTTAATTTTTTTCAGCCTTTATGAACTATGTAATCACCTCCATATCCAAATTAGCTTTGGACTTGCTGAAAGTTGGGGCACAGGTGGAGAAGAGGCACACTTTTTGCTCCCTTAATGTTGTTAACACTGTAAACATTTGAAAATTAAACTAATTTTAGTCCTCACAGAGTGCCTGTGAACCAGAAAATAGGTAATAATATAATTTTGAGAAGATTTTGAGTGAGAAAGATAAGGAAGAAATTCCATCCTCTGAAAATGATAAATTCAAGATCCAGACTACTACATCATTCCCAACCTCAAATACTCATGAAAATGACAATCTTAGCTTTCCATTATGTTTGTTTCACGTGTGTATCCAGACAAAGTTGCACATGATGATTAGATGAGGAGAAGAGGATGACTGTGGGCCTCAGGAAATCACAAGGTCAAAGATGAAACACAATGATCAATATGCCCAGAGTGGGGAGAGTCAGCAGTTTTAAGTCCCTTTGGATCAATATTTCAGGGTGATGTAAACATGGAAATTCAACATTGCTCTGAATATCCTCAGAATGCTTCACATGTGCTGGCCCGAGAGCACCGGCAGCAGCTGCATCACTGCGCCTCGCTCAAACTGCACCACCCTGCTTTGTGAAGCTATATTGCAGGCGATGTAAACTGCATAGTTTCTCACAGGCAATAAACAACCAAGCCACTAGGACAGTTACCAGACGAGACGCCAGATCAACACCCCTGAAATGATGCAGAACCAAACTCATCCTAGCTGCAACCATGGCAGCCCGTGCGCCATGGAAAACATTACCAGAATATGATTTCCAGAAGGACAGCAGTGTCCTTCCTGCCATCAGACTGTTATATCACTTGTTCCTAAATGCCTTCTCTGTCTGCATCAGAACACATGCCATTCCAACAAATCCGTTTCTTATGTAGATCTTTCAAAAAGAATCAAAACACAGTACTTGCTTTAATGCATGACAAAGTACTATCATAAAGAGCTAATGAAGGTCTCATAAAAAAATATTTCTTTCATGTCTTAAAAAGTGACTCAACTCAACTCTACTTGAGTACTTGACATCCACATTTTGTAAGTTCTTCTCATACAATCTCTCTTGCTCAAGCATTACTGGGATTCCTATGACTTTTTAAGTCCATACTTTGAAGGCCAAAGGTTATTGTTCATGAATTCCTCAAAAGATAGCTAAAAGAGTTAAAAGCTGTTCTTGTACCCATGCTGTTTAGATTTTGCGTGGACAAACCTGAAAAATAAAAACGTGGGTATTATTTCCACTGTTTTCGATTGTAAGAAGGTTGTGAGAGTGAAATTTATTCATTAAAATATAGAGATTGTAGAGCTTACACCATTGTTTTTTCCCATAGGTTTGTCAGTTCCTGCACTGACAAGATCCTCTGGCTTATGAGAAACATGCTGACCATAAAGGTTCCTCTAGTTCCCTCTTCTGGGAGAATTAGGGAGGACATGGCCACTAATTACTCTATTTTTGTATATACACCCCTGAGAAATAAGTGTTTGGTTCAGGTGTGTTTAATTTAAAATCGTAATGAGCTCAACACCCTAAAATCTTTGACTACCTGTCAATAAAATTATTTTCTGCAGTTTAAAAGGATATTTAACTTATTAGCTTATTGGACAAGGCTATCCTTTGTCAGATTTTCTTATTCAAGATGAAAGAAGTATTATTCCTCCTGAGGAAAACTGCTGTGCACCAGTTCCAATACAAAATGGGAAAGTTTGTCTCTTGATGCTCTATATGCAAATGTTTGTCCTAAATGTCTTGGATTGTTGCTATAAAAGGAGCTTCTCATTACACCAATATCAATCCACCCACAAGGATAATTTCCGGAGCTGAAAGCTTTAATATGGTTCGCATTTTTGCATTCTCCACACATAAGATTGGTGGGACCTGATAAGTTTGATAACCAGAAATTTAGGGACAATGGGTTTTTTATTTTTTTTAATCTATAATGTGTATTTATGTATTTAAAAGTTTTGTTTGAGATTTGGTTCTGAAGGTTCAAATTACTTAATAAGAAAATTGATAACATAATAAGACCATGGTTGGTTGAAAACATGTAAGACTGTTTAAATCTTATGAGGATAATAGGTCGAAGGTCATGGCACAATATGCCATGGAAATGCAACGAACGCAAATGTATAGCTCACATAACCTCATATTAGGAAAACGTTTAAGAAAACGTTTTAAGATTAGACTCGATACATTTTCTGTTTTAGGTTAAAATAAAAGAAGTAAAGGATGCGGGGAGGACACCTCTTACTTTGAAAAGAAGACTTTTACTTTGCCGAATTGCAGAGTGACAGCAGTTACCCCGAAACGACCAGCTCCGGAGGACGTTTCTGACTTTAACAGGCAGGGCTACCGCGGTTAATGTGATAAACGTCCAGCGTTTTGTCAGAAAACGTCATGGTAAAACCTACAGCACTAAATGCAACCTGCCAACCTTGAATTTATTTCCATGACGCGAGTTTTCACACCTTAAGATGAGCTAAAATAGCTCTGGTCAGCGCGCAAACAATACAACACCGAGTCTGCGTGACATGCTGCCGCTTATTATTTGGCAAGAAACGAATATCGTCGTAAAACGCTGAAATGAGCGCTTTGAATGCTTTAAAAAACCTAGCTCCACGGCCTTCATACCACACCGGTCCCATGGTGTAATGGTTAGCACTCTGGACTTTGAATCCAGCGATCCGAGTTCAAATCTCGGTGGGACCTCGTACTTTTGATTCGCTTACAGTATGGCTACATATAGACCAAACCGACACACCTTCAAGATTTATCAGTTTAGGATTTTAAATTATGTTTTTCTCAGTATTTATTTCAATCAAAATACTTCCATATGCTATTTTGAGTTAAAGGCAACAAACTGCATTGTCACACAAAAGGCATGTAAATGAGGGAGAATACATTTTGATTTGAATACATTGTTTTAATTTCTTGTCAAACATCTGGTACTCATTTCTTTCAAATACTCAAAGTTTGGAAATATATTATTTCTCTTACAAAAAAAGGAAATGTGAAAATTTTGATAGTACTGAAATAATCTATATACTGTCTCAGTGTAAAACACAAATACTAAACAAAAGCATATAGATTGAATACAACCAAAGAGTGTACACATATTTGACACAATAAATCTTTGGCTTTAATTTAAACTCCTTCAGAAACACTTCACACATTATATGGTATATTTTCATGGAAATTTGTCAAAATCAGATAAAGAAACTGGACTCCTTTGATATTATATGACATTAAAATAACTGCTTGTGTTGTAGATTTCTACTGATGGTCATTTTTATTTAAGTCTTGATATGTTTGTCTTAAAACAGCCAGTGTTTTTATACTGTGCAGGATTTCACATGTGATTTACCCAAATGATCAATTTCCTATTTAATAAATACAATTAGGTTCCAATAATTTTGTTTTGGTATCCTGCCATTACAATACCAGTTTAGGTAGGTTGTTAGAGAGAAGAACGGATGTATGGATTCCCTTGCATATAAATGTTTAAATATCTTTTCACATTCACGTGAGAAGGCACAATTCATGAACTAGTATTTGATCTTAGTAATAAAAATGAAGCTGAACTGGAAGACCATTGTTTTTAAGTTTGGGTTAAAAAAAAAGTTATATGTCTACGTAAGATCCAACATCGATTAAGATATTTTGAAACTCGTCAGCAAAATAAAAATACACAAAAAAACATTTTAATGCAGAAAGAAAAACTTTCTCTGTAGACAGTCTCAGTCTTTATCGTAAAATCACTTACTTTTGTCCCTCTCACTGGGAAAAACAATTGTCATCAAACCCCTTCATCTTGAAACGCAACTCTTACTCTCTGCCACATTATAAAGACCCTCTAAGCTCCTTTTCTCTTTGCCTTTGGCACTAAAGAAGATGTGGTGCAGTTTGTAAAGTTAGTTTGCATCCTATGAATTGTATGACACATGAATAAAAGTGAAATGGAAAAAAAAAACTGAAAACACCCAGATAACAAATGCAACTCCTATTTGGCAACATTAGGCCACACTGGCTTCCTCTGTAACCGCTTTACTCTGTAAACTGACAGTGATAGGCAGCCATGCAGAGCAGTTATTGTCAACAGTGGATTCTATTGTGAAAATAGTTATTCACCATTGTACATGGATGTCACTTGCACCAACATGGTTTAGCTGTATACACACTTCATGAATATAGAATTATATAATTTCTTTGGCATCTTCAGATCTGCAATAGTCCATAGTTTTAATTCTTCATCTTCTTAGCTGTGGTCCCAACATTACTTTGTTTATGAAGTTGACAATTGCCACAGCTGGCTGCTCAGGGTCCATCTCAGCAAACAGGTGACACACGTTCTCTGTAGTAGCTCCTGTCCTTCTGGCCACAAAGCCAAACATCCTGCCAGAGAGACAAGACAAGGCAGGTCACAAGACTGGAGAGCAAATTATATTTCACACACAGAGGCACTAGACAGTGACAGAAACAAATCAGATTGTGATGAAGTGCCATGCAAAGGAGCACATTGTACCAGTCGGTTATATGACAAAGTGAAACACACAGTGACACAAGCACTTACTTGCTTGACGTGCTATCAGAATTAGTCCACCTGAAGCCCGGGCACACAGAGACACAGATATAAGACGAATGAATACGTGGATAAAAAGGATATGGAGAACGTTTCATTGACATAAGCACTCATATCAGCAGTACATACCATCACCTCTGTGCAAAAGCAGACAAACAACTCACAAAGAGAACTTATATTGCAACAAAATATAAGTCTTATTATCAAAGATATATACAGCAGCCGTAGCACATTTATTATCAACCTTCACTGAAGATTGTCAGCACAGACACTTGCAAGCACAAGAAGACATTTTTCAGGTAAAACCGCCCTGTGTTTGTTTTTCACTTATATGGATCAACTAACCTCTGATCTTGAGGGTCAAGACTGCTGAATGTGACCGTGTTGATTGGGTAGTGCCTCCTAAAGAATAACCTGTGACGACATAAACAGGATGAAAACTCTTAAAATGTTCCCACTCAACAGGTCTTTGATGCGTGAGAAGTATAATACCTTCTTTTGCTGTCAGTTAGCGTGATTCCTTGAGAAGACACTTTGAAGTGGACCACTGTTGCCACTGGCCGTGGATTCAGAGCTAATGTACACTTAGTTGCCTTGGAAACAGCCTCCGGCCCTGTTAGCGACTCTGTTTCCACAGAGTTTAGGTAGAGCACGTTGCATGCTGGATCATCAGAGAGATTCAAAAGGTATTGATTACAAATTTATGGTTCAGTGCACTGAAAATACTATGCTTAGCAGTTTCAGATGATTACCAAAAAAACTACCACTACAGTTTACATGAACAAGCTTGTGGTCTACCTGCTCCTTGTTTGAGGAGGTCAGCTGCTGTACTTGTATTTGTTGCACTCTGTATCTCCTGAAGCTCGCCAACCAGATCTGAAACATCATTATTTGTCTTATCAGGATTAACTGCCAAAATGATAAAGGGCTACATAGAGGTAACAACACCAACAACAGAAAACTGATGATACAAATATTACCCTTTTCAGGAACACGGAGGGCACATGGTAAAGAGATGGGAGTAATTGAATGTTGGTATACCAAAGCGGATAGGCTCCCTGAGACAGACAGAAAGAGAACAACAGTGCCTCAGATTATGACTGTGGCAGTTTAAGCATAATAAAAAAAGAGGAAAACACCCTGGTCTGTGTGCATATGTTGTGTTGGAAAAATGTTGAGCTTCATAAGTTTAGATGCTGTGCTGCACAATCTTATAGATATACCCAGCCATGTGAAACATGTTACAGAAGTTACTTTTGTCACACAACTGACCAAAGTAGGACTCATTCTGACAGCCCTTGATCTTCACTCCCCGTGGCCCAGTCTCAATGAGGAAGTGTCTCACCAGCTGTTCCACAGGATCTCCTGGGAAGGAGGGAGAAGAGAGTAAGGAGGTACAGACTGATGATTAAACATATGGCCCACTGTCAAACTGTCTCGCTTATAAATCGAAGAATCTGTCTTGTTTGTCCTTTACCAGTAATTAGTTCTGCTTCAAACCTGGCTGATGTTAATATAATGAATGATTTGATATTTATGGTGAAGTTTCTGCTATTATTTCCACAAACTTCATGTTCAAGTTTGTAATTAAGGCTTTCCATTTACCCCTACAAAACAAGCAGACCCCCATGATCAAAAAGCAAAATTAGAGATGTGCCATGAATACCGTTGTTCCAAGTGATGCTGGCATTAGGTGGAGGGGTAGCCACCTTTAGAGCCAGGCCGTAGGCACCCTGGAAGGAGTTGCTGTCTCTAATGAGGAAAGTACCCGGCTCCTTGTCCTTCAAGACAGCGATTGCTATGGTGGAGATGACAGGACATAGAATGGAAGCAATAACGGGTCACATTTGATTCATCTTGCTTTCTGAAATGTTGCTAAGGTTCCCATTTCATCCACACAGCATGTCAGATGGTCAACACAATTTAAACTCTTCTTTGATCCCTTTTCAGCTCTCACCTTGATCTCTGGAGATGCCTGGTTTGTACCAGTATTTGGAGCTGTCCTGGACAAACTTTGCATTCACTCTAATGTCTACTTCGTCCCTACAGCTGGGTTGTGCAGACACCCTTCTTTGCTCTCCGACAGCAGGGGAGAAAGTAACGTGCTGTACTGGGGAAGGAGCTGAGGAGGCCCGCAGGAGTGTATTGTGTCCGTTCAGGGATGGTGCTGTGGAAGAATGACGCTTTTTTTCTGGGAGTGGTGGTTGGATGGCGGGTATAGTAACTGCGGTGTATCCAGTGTATGGAACATGGGGGACATTTAGTAAAGAGTAGTAGTAGGAGGCTAGGGGGAAGGTAGGTGTTTGATATCCATCGGGCACAGGTGATGGTGGTTTGGTATCGGCTGAGCTGTCTCTGTCCGGGGTCAGTCTCTGTCCAGCTGTATCTGCAGCAATTGTAGAGTGCTGAGGAGACAACTGCAACTCTGGGGACCCAATGGGAGAATTTGGGGATGTGGTGGAAGGACTGGAGCATACACTTGCAGATGGATTCTGTTCCATTCTTCTGCCGCACTCAGATAGGCCTTCACAAGAAAGAGCAGACCCATTGAGCTGGACTTGGATTGGGCTGATAACAACAGTTGCATAGCTTGAAGTATGTGATTGCTGGTATCTATCGACACATCCCTTGACCTCAGCTGCTCCAACCTTCTCATCTGCACCCATTGAAGGCGCAACTGATGGTTCTGTGGGATTCGTAGATGTGGTAGAACTTTGGGTTTCTGTCTCTGATGGCACTGATGTGATAGATCTGTCTTTGTATTTGTTGGACTCTTGAAGTATAGCAGTCTCTTTTCTTTGAAGTGGGCTATCAGATTTTAGGCTAGCCAAAAAGAAAAACGTTGGGAAGAAAAAAGGCCATATTTAGATATCTGGATTAATGCAAACACATTCTCTGCATTGGTTCATGAACAAAAAGATGTTTCACTGACCTGTCCTCTGTGTGAGTTGGACTGCTGCCACCAATCAGAGTGTAGTCATGGTCAGAGTCAAGGTCTGGGGTACTTGACTTTCCTTGGGTGTCAGATTTGCTCTGTGAACCTTGAGATATGTCATCCTCTGCATTTGTCTTGACCTTTTCTATTGAATAGGAGAGATTGAAAGGGATATGTTTCAGGCATAACAAGTGGATGAGAAGCATAAAAAGCTTGGCTTGTGCAAAAATAATGTGAAGATTTTGTGGAATTACCCTTGCTCTGATCTGTGCATGGCTGACTCTCAGATCTTGAGGGGGTATCAGGCAGTTTTCCTCTACCAGGAGATGGACTGTTTGCAGGCAGAGGTGAAGCCGACCCCGAGTGATAGCCTGAAGCATATCCCCGGCTCTCACGACTCTCAGAGGGGGAGGACTGGTACGGGGAGCAGGGGCAGGAGTGGCGTGGCTGTAGAGGAGTGTGATAACCACTGCTTGCCCCATCCCGGACATCAATCAGTGACTGGGGGATAGAGTAGTTATGATGAGGTGCAATGACAAATCTAGATTGCTCTGGGTTTGGAACCTTGTCCAGAGTGGATTGGCAGATGCGATATCCTGGCATGGATGATTTGCACTGCCACAATTCTGCCTCTCTTTTCAGCTCCCATGGATTTTCAGTTTCCCATAGTGGAAGTGCATCTCTTGACCGTATCCCCGCTGCCTGAACCCAATGTGGATTCTCTGATTGGTCCGGGTGCAGCAGGTGGAGCGCTCTGACTGAGGCTGATTGGTACTCTCGCCTGCTGGAACATTCCTGACATGGGCAGCAGGAAGATGATGCTGGGGATCCAAAAAACATTTCTCTGTAAGGGCTGTGAGGGCCTGGGCCGAGGCCAGAATAATGAAAGAGATGACACTCGTCCCCCGTGCAGAGTCTGTTTGAAGCTGGTAAGGTGTGGTTGTGATTGTGGGTGTGCTCAGTGGTTGGACAAGGGTAACATTGCCGATGGAGGCAAGGCAGGGATGGATGAGGGAGTTGAAGTTCCCATGGTAACTCAGGTAAAGGGTTTGTGCTATGACGATGGCAGAGCTCCAAGTGAGTCAAATGAGGAGGAGATGACATAGATTTGGATGGTAAAGCTGGCAAAGTTTGGCTTTTTGGGTTGCTTTTAATGCTCTTACAACGTCCAAGACAGTGGCCACTGGGAATACAGAGCTCTCTGTCCATTTCCCTACAAGCATTGCTACATTTTGTACCTGTTTGACTGCAAAATGAGCGTTCTTGCCTGGAACCTACTGAAATTGATGGGTCTCCATCATCTAAAATCGCTGTTTCTCTGTCCCTTTCTTTGTCTCTCGTCTTCTCTTTTGTTTGAGTTTCTACATTCCTTTCACTTTTATCTCTGTCAGGACTGTGAACTGACAAAGATTCTTTGCCGGGATGATCAGAAGGGACTGAGGAACAGCTAGATGAAGAGGTATAGGTGAGAGGTTGGGGGTGGGGTTGGGTTTTTACTGTTGGGCTGCTCGTGAGACATCCATTGGGTGAAGCTGCTGCAGAAGCAGTTGTGCCTGGTCCACGTCGCTTTCTTACTTGAGCGTACAAGCTGCCGTCTAGAGGGCCTCTTGTGTGGGATATGTCTGTTGCAAAGACAAAAGATAATGCAATGCCAATCAATTCCATCCTTTCCATAGAAAACCTTTTTTCGCCAATGTGCATGTCCTTACTTTCCGTGCTGTCCTGGTGGTGGAGATTGAAGTTTTCATATGAATCCCATCTGACCACAGGGTCTGAGGTGTTGTAATCTACCTTGATGGATGTGTCATTCTTTTGATATTCTCGACCTGGGGGGGGAGAAATTCAGACGGATCTATGGAATCTATTGAATTTGAAGTTGTACGAATAAACAGGCAGACGAGCAGATGATAATAGTCACCTTTAATTTTCTCCGGCCCATTGGAAAACATGAATTCCACTGTAGCATCTGGAGGAAATCTGTCATCTATAGAGAGAGGAGCATGAAGTCAGTGACTAAAATATCCCGAGTACAACCACAAAGCGTGATGAAAACATTCACCAGAAGGTGTGATCTATAAAGTAGAAAGAAAAAAAGATTTAAAATGAATTTTTGTTATTGCTTTTTAGCTTCTACGTGATTGACATAAATGGGCCAAAAAGAAAATAAACTTATCAGAATCTAATCTTTTTTTCAGTGTAGCTTTCTTTTAAAAGCCAAGTATAGGTTTTGCTAATATTTCAACAAATCTTACAGTATGCATGTACCAGCATGTAGCACTTGCAGTAACTTCCATCAGAATTCTGGTAAGTGGGTCACACGCAAATATTTCTGTTTCGTCTAACCTGACATCGTCATTTGCTATATGTTGCAAAACACAAGGTCTCAGGAAAAAATGTATCTTATTTAAACAGGAAGGAAACAGTGGAAATATACAGCTGTGGTTGCCCTATTTTTTATTCATATGTATACAACCGCTTCATAAATATGGTGCAGCAAATATCTTCACCAGTTTAGCAAGCTGCAGTTATGCATATTCATCCATGTTCGTATATCTCTAATGCCTTTGTGAAACTGTGACATTTTCTCAAATCATTGTTTGTTTGTTGTCTACCTGCGTAGGCCAAGTCGAGCTCTGTCTTGCCAAACCACAGCTGGGCTCCATGAACCGTACAGGTGTGGAACTGGACTCTGAAGACCACCTCCCTCTCTGCCGCTCTGCTCCGCCGGTGGTAGCACTTCACCTACAGGGATAGGAGACGGCGTTCATGTGGAAAGTGATGAGTATGCATTCAATCACAACATTTTTTAATACTTGCTCAAAATAATTGTTTTAATTAATTTAGATTACATTTGCACAGGGACAAGCGAGGACAGATTGTTGATACTCTCTCAGAGAAACATTGGAGATGTTAATTTAAGAGCTTACATACATATTCAAACACTTTAAAAAAGCAAAGCTAGAAAACTATCAAAAAGCAGTCACTGACTTTTGAGGTTTTATGTAACAATACCACCAAATAATTTTGGGTATTGTATGGAAAAACTGTGGCAAGAATGAATGTATATACATTGGTTTTAAATATATGTAATGTTTTAAAGGAGTGACATTCAGTTCTTGATAAGCCAAATCTTACCATGATGTCCCCCTTTAATAGCAGTGCTGGCTCCATAGTCACACACAGCTTTCTTGCTCTTGAGCTCTGGGGATCACTAGACACGCACGCAAAGTAAAGAGCAGGTACATCAGCTTCAAACATATGTGACACAAGTTAAAACATGTCACTGTTGGATGAAACACTGGTAAACATACTACACCCTAATGTAAGCACAGACTAGGCTACAGTTAAACATAGGCAGTGGCCTCCAGAGTCAACATCTGTGAGAGCAACTGAAAGAATGAAAGGCAACCCCCCACAAAATGAAGAAGTCAAAACAACTTACTAGACACCTGAGGTGTAGACAAGTTGTAAAGACTGGTAGATTTTCAGGAAAGGAAAAAATCCTGCAAATACAGAAAAACGTAGGGGAGGTTACCTATTAAAAAATATTGACAGTGAATAGACAAAAGCTTTTCTGGGCTTTTTCATCAATATAATAAAGCTGGCTGCTTGCCGTTCTAACCCTGTGGTTACCATTACACCACTGCAAACTAAGAAACTGACCTCCTCCCGACTGGAAGTTTGGTAGTGAGGGAATGAGGATCTGATGAAGGAACAGAGGGCTGCTATTCATTTTAATGGTACCGGACAACAAACCACTAAAGTAGTAGATGTACCTGTGGAGTAGAAATGAGGAAATTATGTGCGTGATGAAATGAGGGTGCGAGTAAAGCAATTATACCATGTAAGTAGTGGCATATGATAGAGATGGTTCATGCACGGGTAACTGAGTGTGGCACACCTGTTCTGGGAGGGCTGCAGGGAGGAGGAGACTTTGTCTTCACAGAACTTTCTCATGGCTAGTGTGGTGAGAGCCTGGTCCACTCTGAGAGTAAAAGCAAGAAGGTATTACAGAGTGGATATTGTGGACAAAATACTTTATAACATCATGTTGGGATATTTTCCCTTCCACTTTCAGGTAACAAGCTGGAATATTTATTGTTATACTGATATATATATATATATATATATATATATTTTTTTTATACTGAAATGGTGTGCATTACCCTGCTGATATCTTGCTGTAGTGCATGTATGCTGCCACAATGACCCCAGTCTTTCCTTTATTTCCCTGTAAAAGCAAAGATCAAATGCACAGGGAACTAGTTTTTTATTTCCAGAAAAGAACATTTTCAAAACAAAACAATCAGTTATGTGTTGAGGTTACACTGACTTTACAGTGGAGGACCACCACATTGCTGGGGTCTGAGGTTAGCCAGGTTTCCATGGCTTTACAAATGGCACAAATCCTGTCCAGAGGAGGAGCGTGACAATCAGGCCAGCCATAGTCCTGCACCTGGATCACAGACGATTTTTGTTTCAGATTGTGGAAGTTTGTCATCCAGTCAAGTCTTCATCAAAAGATTATGTGGCGGAAAATATTGCATATATTGTTTGTGCATGCCATCGGTATCCACGTGCTCATGCCGTGTAATGCCTTCTAACTTTTCAGATGCAAACACCTGTACCTTTGGGTTAAGTCGGGTTATGTCATGTCTCTTTTCTGATAAATTCAGCAACTGCAAAATAAAGAAAATCAGAAATAGGCAATGATTAAAGAACAAGTATACTATAAAAGAGTTAACTGTGGATGACTATGCAAGTGTATATGAACATGTACAATTTTGAAAAAACAAATTAAACTCAAACATAACACTATTTGCAATATAGCTAATTAAAAGTAGAATGCAATACTTTCTGAATCTCATAAAAAATGTTTTACCCCCAACAGAAAACATAAAATGTTGCCTGACACAATTTACTGTTTCTAAATATTAAATTACATTTTCTCAAACTTTATGGCAGCAATACACCTCCAGAAAGGCAACAAGTCAACAAAACACTTAAAAAGTCAGTTCAACTAAAATGGAACAGGTGGAGGAACATGCTGTAACTAATTAGGTTAGTTACAGCTTTTGAGTAACATGACTGAGCATTAGAAATAGAATCTCAGACAATCAGTCCGGACCGTCCAGGTGTACCATGCCTCTCACCCACGGAGATAGGAGATAGGCTCCAGTCCCCCTGTGACTCCATTTGGGATAAAGCAATTGAGAAAATGGATGGATGGAGAATCAATCATGTATTTGTTCGAATTGGCAGATGTTAGACAAAAAAAGAATGTTCTTGGTCTCTAAAGAGACATTGTACCTAAACAGATTTGAATTTGTTATTAGAATTATCACATGGGCTCAAGAATGCTTCCTTGAATCGCTGTTCGTAACCACAATTCACTGTAGCTTGCCTACAATTCAGACTTTTTATCAGTTTGAAAAATGTGGTGTATAATGAAAGGCAAAATAAGACACAGAGGATCCAGGACTGTTGAGAACCTAGAATGGCTGAACACTTCCCTTCCAGCAACATGCCACCTCTGGACCCAGATGTTTACACACTGTTGTTCATAGAGTGGATGCTACAGAGTGATAAACGTGGCCTCATCCCAACTTTTTCAAGACATTTTATTATCAATTCCTGACAAGTTCAAATGTTTACATGACATGATATGTCTCATTTAATTTTGAATGAAATATCAGTTTGTGAGATTTCAAACTATTGGATTCGATTTTCCTGATCATTTTACATCGTCAAACTTTGTTGATAAGGGGATTTACATTGTATGCATTTGCTTGAAAGTTTTCGACTAACCAGAAACTTGTCTTGGTGCTTAGACTTGAGCATGGAAGCCACTTCCTGCATGTTTCTGCGGTACCTCTGCTCCTCCAGTTCTGGCTGGAAGAAGACCGAGATGATCCTCTCTGTGATGTAGGTGAGGTCGAAGTCGTAGTGGCACTCCATTACATGCTCCATCACTTGCTCCACACTTTTACTTCTGGAAATTGTGACAACCCATTCTTTTAGTGCAGCCCAAAAAAAAACAGTAGACAGCACATACACCCAATCCCAGGCTTTTTAATGTTTTTATCTAAAAATACCATTTTTCTTTTTTAAGCATGCGTTTGATTCAAGATTTCTACTACCTTGGTATGGAGCCTCTCTTCTTCTGTGAAGTTGATTTAATGGAGCTGTGCTGTATAACAAAGAGATAAAAGCACAGAGGAGCTGGTGTCACAGTTTGCCCCATAAGATATAACCCTTATTGCTTTCAAAAACATGTACAAACCTACCAGGTCCGTGAAAGTGGCAGTGCAGGCTTCAGACACCTGAAATTAGAGGAACACATGCTTAGATTTTGCAGCAAAAATACACACATATAAACATTCACAAGTCAAATCATGTGTATACTCCAGCAGCATGGAGTATGAAGAAGAGTTGCTGGTGAGGCTGGTAAGATTAATTCTCACTCTCACTGTCGTCTGCAGCAGCTGTTCTCAAGAAGCATCTGTCAGCATAGATTTTGCACATGACAGACTTGTGACACAACGTCAGAGAAAACACACAAACGAATATCTGCAATTTTGGTGCCTGAGTACAAGAGCCACAGAGAAGTGTTTATTGTGTTGGTCCTTTGGTTGTATGAGCAGAGGTATTGCTCAGGGTATCCAACGCTGAATAAGATTATTGATCTTTTTTTGGCTTTTTCAAAGACGAGAGAAGACAAAGGCAGACGTGAGTTATTGCTGGTGGAAGGTCTCTACATGTGGTGAGCAGTCCCCCGTACTTTGCTGCCAAGACTAACTTGCCTGAACCACAAACACATTGAGAGAGAGAGGGGAGCCAAGGTCCTCCAAACAGGCCACTGCCACAAGTACATACATATAAACTTCAGTAGGTTTTTCACAGATTTGTCCACTCTGTATGGTCTCATGTGACTGGAAGCTGAGCCATTACAGTGTTGGTCAAAACTGACAGATGTCAGCTAAGAGATGTCAAGATCAAACGACTGAAATACACCATGATATACACCTGGAACAATGTGAGGAAAGCAACATTCACCATGCGAAATGTAGTCTCTTATTCTAAGATTACAGCAGATGAAATGATGCAACAGAGCATGCAAAGTTTTGTTCACTTAAACAACTTTTCTGTTTTATTTATAAGCTGAATCTACTAGGAATAAGCAGTTTATGTAGTGGAAGGATGAATGTTTTTTTTACTGTTTTCCCATGCAAGTGGATACATCTTTAAATTATGCCGGATTCATAATTTTCTATGCTGTATTTTATTATTGTGTAAGGTAAATAAAATTTAATTTGAGCCATTTTATAAGACTGATTGAAACTCAAATGCAGATGCAGTCATTTAAAAAATAGTAAGAATAATATTTTCTTTGCTACCCATATGGTGCCAGCACATGGTGTGTCTACCTGGCTGCAAAGAATGCTCCCTGAGTGAGGTCAGAAGTAGTTAAAACTCAGCCCAGTTGGTTTGCACAGGCTGAAGCAGTGGTCTGTGTTGGCTGCCTGCTGCCATAGTCACATAATGTTTAAAGGTGGGGACATTTTGAGCACACAAAATATTACTTTGTGTCTTCGTGGTAAACAGAATATTGAGTTTTCAGATACAGTTGAAAAAGAAGGTAAAATGTCCTCAACAAATCAAAACAGAGGTAAACGGTGTCTTAGTTACATTGAATAAGTGTTATAAATATGAAAATCCATCCATCCATTTTCTATACTGCTTATTTCCAATGCGGTTGCTAAGGATCTGGAGCCCATCCAAGCTACAAATATGAATATGTGATAGATAAATAAATACAAAAGATACTGCACAACTATTGGCATCAGCAGGACTTCACCGAATTGCTAGCGATGAAATTGACAGCACTGGTATCAGTGGACATGAGAGAGGCTACTTCAAAAAGTATGACACTATTTTGATCCAACATGGCAAAGCAAAAGTAGTGCTAGTTTAATAATGGCTGTGAAAGTAGTCAGGATAAATGAATCAGATTCAAGAAGTTAAAGTAGGAGACACGTAAACATATGGAGCGCAATCATGCAAACACATGCGAACAGACAAAAGGAGTACCTTAAGGGAGAAACTGTAGAAATGCTAAATTAAGGGAGAGGAGCAAGACACTGAAGTCAACAGGAAGCAATTTGTAACAGGATGTCAGTGCTGGTCGGCAGAAGTTCACACATACAAACATATGTGCACCCGCGCACACACACAAATACATGCTGAGTATACATGTGTGCCTTGTAGCTCCGCCGGCCTCGGGGTCTTCACTAATGCATGCTGGAGCCACTGGAAATGGGGCCATCTGGTTCAGTTTGTCTCGATCATCAGTTAGCATTTACTAAGGTGCCACTGACAGCAGTCTGTCCCACCTACAGGCCCTGAGTGGCTGCCTGTTAGTGAACTGGATAACCGATGTACCCAGTGGTTCAGTTTACTCAATGATCCTCTGATTTGCGGCTCAATTGTTGATACTCCTCGACAGAAAAAGGAATCAAAAGGAAATGCTGGATTTTTTAAAATGTTATTACTTTCATCTCTCCTATGAAATTGGACTAGGGAAATATCCCGTTTGGCAGTGTCTGAGGTTTGGAAAATGACTGCTGCTTGTGGCACTGTTTGGCTTTTCTTTTCCTTTTTTTAAAAGACCAGATCTGTTTGTCTGTCTCTCATCGTTTCAGGTTTCCAAAATTCAGATATCCACTGAGGAAACTAGCAGCTTCACCTCTGCAAAATATTACTCTAACTTAGTACAAAATATGCTGAGCTATTCCTTTGTTACATTCCCTTAGGGTTCTGGGAAAATGTCAAGAAGGGTTTTTGATGCTTTCTGACATTCACAGCCTTATACTGTTCACAGAAAAGTCAGTTTTGATCACACCCAGTCATTGAACATTTGAGTATTCCAAAGCCTCTTCACAGGGAAGCATGGATCTAATGCTTGTATCATTAATGCCATGCCTTGAGAAGGGATCCAGAACACAGATCCGAACGAGCAGTTGAAGGAGGGATTAAACGTGAGAATTTGAAAAGCAGGCTTCAGTATTCCGGAGGAGTAAGTTTCACTCTGACAGTCATCTGTAAGTTGATGTCACAGTCTGGACAGGGAGAAGTGAGTAAGCTTTCCTGTCCGAAAGTGGAAAAAGCTCAATGAACATAGCCCATTACAAATTCCACAGTCTCTCCAAAAGCTAAAATAAAATCCCTCTCTTAACTCGGATTGTTAACGTTTCCCTCGGGGTACAGCAAGGAGAACGTAGGCTGAAATCCTTTCTAGAAGAGATGCAGCATCTCTCTCATTATCCCTCTGCAGCTCATCTTTCTTCTCTCATTTCTATATTTCTTGCAGTCTGTCATCTGATTTATTTTACCTCTCAACTACTGTCTTACAATCTGCCTTTCTGCTTACAAAGCTTCAGGCAAGACAACAGAAATCCTTCTCATCCCTGTGATTCGAGCATGCACTCGCCTTATACAAACAACATTAAATAACAAAGGGGGAGCTCGATAAGCATCACCACACATGGCCAAGGCACGTCACTAACAGACTAACTAACTGGCCCTGAGCGGGAGGGAATCAGAGCTCCGAGCTAAAGCACTCTATCTGGGGAGTAGAAAAATTGGTTGGGTTTGGAGGGAAAAAGGCTGGAAGACAGGAAGGGATGGCAAACAGAGACAAAAAATCGAGAGCGAGTGCCGAACAGGAGAGAGATGTCAACAGCTGAACATGTCCCTCAGAGCAGAGAGATTTCACTGAGCTATTTTGATACAGTTCCTTATTTTAGACTGTACAGAGTATCCCTCAGAACACTTAAATGCTCATTTTGTGTATTCGTTCATCAATCAACTTACAGATTCCCTTGCTTTGTCTGGCGCCATTGTAGTGGGCTGATTTTCACCATGTCTCATGTGACACACTGATAGCTACAGTAAGTCAACAATACAATATATTCTTATGTTAGTTGGTACTCTTTTTGGATTGAACACCAAACAAGTAGCAAAATAGCCCTTAAATCTCCTTGAGCTCTTAAAACATCCAATCTGTGAATTTATTACAAAAATAAATTTGTTTCATATGACATGCTTTAAATTCAAACTGTTTCAAATGCATCTCAGTAACACTGGTTTAAAAAAAGAAGTATATTCCAGGAATATTAAACAAAGCTTGATGTGCAGATCTTTCAGGAAATTAAAGGCAGGGAGTCAGTATAAACACTGAGCTGACATCTGCATGTGTGTTCAGCAACACTTGGATGTTGCTAAGGAAGGAAAGCCGTAAAATAAAATCAACCATGACAATTATCTATCTGCAGCTCATCATGCCAGTATTGGTTATAAATAGTGACAACTAGTTACAGTGATAAGCTACCACTGTAATCACTTTCCATAGATACTCATCTCACAGGATATTTTACTCTGCTGTGTCCACTTTAGTCATCGCTATCGGCTTTGCCGTTTTTACCTTTCCTCTGATGTGCAGTGACACTCGGTACAACCACGGGACTCCATACTCACCAGATCCCCCATGGTGACACATGAAAGGCTGCAAAGGTTAGAAAATGTGCCTCAAGACACCCGAAAGGAGGAAGTAAGAGACAGTCGCAACATCTTATTTAAAGCTGGACTGATAATTGGATAATGCCTCAAAATAGAAGAGGGGTTACAAGTGGAAAGCTTTAGAAAACTGAAGAATATGAAGAAAAAGTCCTGGGAACTTTGTAGGGATTTGTATCTACCCCAGGTCAATTTGAACTAATGACAACAAATTAATGGTACTATCGTAGAGCACACTAGCCAATAAGTGTGCACAAAGATCCAAACTGCCATATCAATTCATAAATCTGTGTGAAACATTGGGAGAGCAGCTGCTGTGTATGAGTTGACACTGCATTCATCTGTATTTCAGAGTGCAACATTAGGACCATCATCAGTATCCATCCATAGATGTTAACTGGGTCTTAGACAATAGCAGTTGTCTTCGTCAGGCATCATTTGATTAAAAATAAATGTTACATACAAAATCAATAATGCATGCATATATAAAGAGTTATGAACAACACGGATTCAATAATCAGGTGAAATATATTGGGAAAGCAAGAAGTTCCTTATTGAAAAATTAGTGACAGATCCCGACAAACCCATAAAAAGTGTGATGCATCATTTACATTTAGATGCATTCACAGTCACACATGAAATAAGGTTCAGGTTAATTTAATTTTATAACAACCATCTCATTAAAAAGTAAATCTTACAAGTAAATTCTGAGCTATAAATATTTAAAATCTGTGTAGTCTTTATAGGTCTAAGCAGGAGTTTCTGCTACAGTTTCACCATTTGTCTTCAATCAGAGTAAACAAAATCCACTTTCTGGGCCAAGCAAGCACTCTCTGGCTTCAGTATTAACAGAATTGTATACACAATCACATGCTGCATTAGCAGAGCAAACACTGTAGGAAGGGTTTAAAGATGTAAAATTCTTGCTGAGTAATGGATAGAAAAACACGAGGAACATGTTGTTACTAATGTGCTCACTATAAAAAGCTAAATCAGTAAAAGCTGAAAACAGTAAATACAGCGCAGTGTGTTTTACCTCTCAATAAGCAGCTTCAGTCTTTGCCTCTGCCTCTGAGCAGTCCTGTGTGCGGAGTGTGACACTACCTCCTCCTTTTCTCTCACACATACAAACTCTCAGCTCACTCCCTCTCACCATCTCACTTTACCTCCCTCCCTCTCTCCCAATAACACACACTCACTCCCAGTGTGCCAGCAGCACATGCGACATAACATTTCCCCCCTCGCTCTGCCTATGTCATACGCATGGGAAAGCCCATCAACCGTGCAAGCACTTTCCCCTTGCAGACGCACTCACACACACACATCGATACGCCACACGCAGACAGCGAGCAGCCCTGCACATGCTACTGATGACTGTTGACCCCTCCACCAGCCTGAGGCTGAGGCAGGGAAATGACAAGAGGCAGAACAAAAGTGGCAGGAGGACAAGTGTTGGTACTAAAGTAGATACTGATGAGACAGGCCGAGACAACTTGATGCACTGGGAATGACAGGGGAAAAAAAAAACTGAACCGTAAGAGTGCTGAGTGGCACGTTATTTCACCCTGTAACCTTTTCACATCTGAAAAAGTAAAAAAAAAATAAATAAATAAAAAAAAAGAAAGTTCTTGACCATCACAAAAAACAGTTCTGGAAAGGGAAATGTGATGATTGGGGGGATGTAAATGATGTGTAAGGAAGAAAATCTAAGAAAGCAATTTTCTAAGAGAGACATGCTGTAGAAACTAATGCCACAGGGTTAGCGTGACATGAAGCAGACATAAGTCTGCAGCCTTGACCTAATGTTCCCCCTTTATTTATGAATACCCCCAAAGGGGACTGATTACACACACACATAGCCTGCCTCCCCAGCTGCCTCTCACTTATTTGTGTACCCCCATGATCACTCACTGGCAGGCATCTACGGCACTCTTGTTATTTTCTATATTTACCCACTCAGGCTTTTCCTATCTAGCCTGATCATCGTCCTGCGGGACGATGTTGTCTCTCATCCGTGGCACCCACTCCATTGCACACAGAGGGAAAAAAAAAGGTTTTGGCTATTGCCATAGTGACCGGGGGGATGAGTATGACAAAAATAATAATCCTTTTTTTAATGCACGCTGCTAAGAGACAACAGCTGGTAGGACCCAGTAATAAACTTTACAGTGTGCACATGCATACTGTCTAAGTATAACTATTATTGTAAGGATCTTGATGTTTTTAAGAAGGAGGTGAATTAAGTGAATTGTAGCAATATAACATCCATAGGAATAATTGTAAATACCACCGATGGGGATCAAAGCATGATTTAAATATAGCATACCACTTTGGGTGTCTACGAAGTAAAGTGTTATAAATATAATTCTGATCATAGTTTGTATGCCATCAAATTGTCACATTATCCACAGATTTGTATTCATAGGTACTTGACACCAAGACGCATCACTCAAATCTTTTTTAATTAGTAAACAACACAATGCACCCATTAAAAACCATGAGATAGTTTAGCTGTAACACATGCAACATTTAATCAATGTGGTTCCAAATCATAACTTCCTGTCATCAGATTATCTGACAAAGAATGAGGGAAACTAAAAATGTAATAGAAAAAAATTAAATGTATGAAAGTGAGCGAAAGTGCCTTCTGAGGTGAAGTACAATCGACTTCACAAGAACAAAACAACAACGGTCCTATAAAAAGACAGATGGTAGTGAGCCATTTCAGAGTGAATCAAACTCCTCCCTGCATGCTGGCCACCAAGAATTTACTTCTGCCAACAAGTGCTGATGCTAAGAGAACGGAAACTATCTATTCTAGAAGCCCTAAAGCCTTATATCAAACAGGGTGTTGCAGGGTCGCTTATAGATATAATGGAGTTGCCACGAGTGATTGAGGACACTTGTGTTACTACTATACACGACTAAACAGTCCGAGCAGCCTGGCCTGTTGTTGCTCTGTTTGCAGACCCTGTTTGGCAGCACTTGTAGATCAGTTCATTTGGCTTATTCCACCATAGGCTCACATCATCATGCCCTCTCATTTTTGGCTTACCTTGGCTTCACACGTCTTGTGAACCGCAACCTTGCACTCTGTAAGCAAAAGGGAAAGGAAAGTAGTTTTACCCTGGAAATAGGCCTTGCTGCAAGGAATGAGGTGTGTCTGTGTGTCTCCATGCTGGTCAGGTGTGACTCAGGATCTGCTGCCTGACCTGAGATGTGAGATGTGGACTCACCCTTGCAGAAAACCCCGAGGCTGCTGATGTTCTGCCTGCACACATCGCACACTCGCCTCTTCTTGAAGTTCTTCACTGTGAAGGCGTGGCTGCCCGACTTAGTGAGCTGCAGAGAGACACACACAGGGGAATCAAATCTCATCACCTGTCCTGCACACAACCTCCAGATGAAAGCAGAAATCTGTTCATTGTATGATAGAGAGAGTGTTTCTTTGGAACAGCATAAATACTGTAAAGGGATTTAGCTGATTTCTGTGTTTGTGCAGGCGTCTGAGCTCAGCGTTGTCCCCTGTGTCGCCGCTGTCAACTCAGATGTGTGGCGTTTCAGTGACACACCAGCGTGAGCGCTGATGCCTTACCTGCTGTACATTCAGCCTCCTCCACTAAAAATATACGTCATAGCACATCGGCTTTTAAATTGTCCTTATTCTGTCTCAGTCTGTGGGGTAGCAAATATGATGTAAGCCGTGGAAGCAGAGAACCTGTCCTGCTGCTGTTTGTAATGCTGCGCACAGACAAGCTGGGTGGAATCAAAAGGATAGACTTGATGCATTAATGTGTTGTTGTGTGAATTTATAATCTTTCAGAAGCATTGGGCTTTTCTATACGTCTTGCTGGGGTGGTTCAGACATTTCTTCTTCCAACACTGCACTGGACAGTCATTTCAGCTGTGTGAACGTCAGACATTAGTTTCTTTGAGCTAAGAAGGAGAAAAGTCTACCATAGAGCCTAACTTACTGTTAAGTCTTGGGGAAAAAAGTAACATTTTGAAAGGTCTTAATAATTTTGTAATAAACTAAGATTTGATATGATGCTAACTGAAGCTCAAATGAAAAAAGAGACAGCAGCAACACAAATGCACATGAGTACCAACTCCTGGTGAGGATATGTGTTTCTAAGGGAAATAAATACTTTGTTGAGTCATAATTTTTCTTTTTATAATACTCATATCTCCCAGTGACAAAAAAGTGGGACAGGGTTTATATAAAGCAAGGGTTACGCCTTACCAAAGCAAAGCTTTTTTTAAAAAGCATGTGAAGCACATTAAACCATTACGTTTTTCCTTGAGCAGAGAACAAGGAGGGGCCTGGAAACATCAGGAGGGAGATGGGGCTTGGGTTATGTGAGTGTGTGCTGTGTACGATGCAATGGGAGAAGTGGAGAGAAACAAACTACACATAGTAAATGAACAGACACACATATTCATGTTTTTCTCTGTTCAGTGGCTTCATGCATGCTGCTGGTCTCACCTGACACATTTTCATTCACTTTGACGCCTGCTCTCTGGGTTTTTTATGAACAAGAGCCCCATTCATTTGAAGTGGAGGGGGAGAGTGCATGCACACCCGTTTGGGAGCTTTTACAAATGTACCTATTGACGATGTGGTGACAGAGTCCAACTTTTTCCACATTCAGTAAGCAGCCGGATCAGTCAGTCACTTTAATGCAGTGTCTTTTGAAACAGCTGTATCTCTCATGCATAAAATACACCATCTAAATCCTTAATGATGAGTTGTGTGTGATAAATAATTGATTTACCTTTACTTTGAGATTTTCTGTTCTTACATAATGTGAAGATGAAGGCACCATATTGAAGCCTCAGGTTTATGGAACTCATGTGACAGAGGACTTGAGTTTAGACTAGTGGGTAAACCTGCCAGCTGTCTGTTATGTACTGTGGTCTAAAAACACTGGCCAGCTCAAACCATGGTTCACACCAGGACAGTGTGTAAAAGACAGGTCTATACCAAGCATTTGTCAATAAAACTGTCAAGCGGTTCAGTTTGCTGAGTGGAACTGAATTGAAATGCTGATTGAATTTAGTTTACAATAACATAGAGTGAAGTCCCAGACTATGTTCTATATCCTCTGACATTGAACAGTAACATGCCTAAAAAATGATTGATAATATTGCTCAAAAGATACAGACCTTAATGAAAAGAGAGGTCAACTATACTGCGTACTTTAGCTGACTACTCTAAAAAGAGCTGTAAGTTCTTAGAATTAGTCTCCTCTACTGAAGTGTTTTAAATCTATTATAACATTTTTATTCAGATCAATAAATAACAAATGTGAGTACACTAGTCATATTTTTGGGGGAATACAAGAAAATAAAAGGAATTTTGCTTGCAACTGAGTGCAATTTTCATTGGATAAAAGGAAATGGTTACTCATTCAAAACAAACTCTCCCTATTCATATTATCATAGTCATTACATGACTAATAATTAAAGAGTAAACATAACAGTGCACACTCTGTTTGAGTTGTCAACCAGTTCCAGATGGAAAAGTCAAACTGTTTTTTTGCATATCAAGAGAGTCTTGCTGCAGTTTGAAAAACTTTTATGTAATGTAATTTACTGATTTAAGTCTTTGAATGGAACAATGCTTTCTCAGAGTGAAAGAAAACAAAACTATGCTTGATGTAATGATCCAATCAGTGAAACAAATTTGCGATCTTTCATCCAGAGAACATTCTATCAAAGAGTAGAGGACCCGAGCGAAAACATGGAATAATGGTCCTGTAACCAAAAGGAAAGCCTGAAGCACACCATAACACAAAATCCATCAATCATGACACATGGTTTGTGTTCAGTCTGGAAAAAATACATTTTAGACTGAATTAGTCATCATCAAATATTAGTTTCATTTTTAAGTTTAGGGAAAAGATGGCCTGGCCTGAAATAGATCTTGTTTTTACAAGCTACCACTAAGAGCTCAATGCTGTGAGGACTCACTCTCTCCATCTAAAACCAAAACAGAATATGTAAAAAAATACTTTTATGCACAAATAAGTCTGAAAGTAGGAAAATAAAGTGTATTATGTCTGAATGTGATTTGGTGATGGCCAGGTACGATTTCCCAACTTTTTCTCTATCGCCAGCTGCCGTCGTAAGTATGAGAGAAATGTACACAAATTGCAAGAAAAAAATCAGAACAATGAATAGATTATTGCATTACAACTTTAAAGGATTTTTCCTGTAAGTAAGAGGCTAGTTTGGGTTGTGAGCATATCTGATGCACTTGTACTTTGAATACATAAATAAACACACTTTCATGTCCCTCTCCGGTAAATGTAAAGTTTTCCTATTAAACAGGTCAATTCAAATAAATGTACACATTGTCTAGAGAGCAATAACATCACTAATTAAAACGATAAAATGAGAAGCCAACAAGCTATAGCGGTTCTGGACATCCCATGGCTGCTCAGCATCTTCCTGAATATTTCTAATATGCTTTTTTTAATACACTTTTTCCCATGCTGCTTTGAATGCTTTACTAGTTTCTACCAGTAGCTGTGACCCTTTAGCTGTTATGATACATAACCATGGCAACAGTAAAGTTAGTTTGGGAGTGGCTGATTGGACCTTTCCAAAAGCTCAAGTAATGCCTGGAACTGGACCCTGAATACATCAATTGGTTTAAGTTTCACAAACCTGAACTGAGTGCATCTGCAGGACAAAGACTGTGACCGCAGTGGATCAGGGCCACAAAAGCAGAGAAGTAAGGATACAGTTTTAATAAGATTACTTTGTCCCACATTAAAAACAAAAGCTTGATATTTAAGCCTAATATTTAAATAAGAGCAAAAAACTCTCCACAAAAAATTAGTGTAAAGAGAGAAACGCAGTCTCGTCAGAGGGGTAAGAGCAGCTAAAATAAAGTCAGTGGCTAGAGAGAGAAAGTTTAATGGCATGTAATGGATTAGGATGTATTGATTTTTACTTTGCTTTTTGCCCATGGCCAACGCAAATAAATGTTTTGGATTTGGGTTTTGTTGTTGGACATCTTTGCCAAGTTGGTAAATAGTTCAATCAGAAAAAAAAACAATGCAAGTATTCTGTTTTGGAAAAAGCAATCTAAGATATTTATCAAGGAGACACAAGGTTATATGCTGGTGAAATATTTTCATTAGATATATTTTGAATTGTGATTTTCACCATCTGATTTTGGACGAGCACCATTTCATTTGTTTAAATGACACCTTTCTGTAGTCCAACATAGTTTGATGTTGTTGACTCAGTTTTACAGAGATCATGTGGTGAGTTAAGGGTGTCACATAGTGGACAAACCTTTGTAGTGCAGCTCAGACAAAAGGGTGAAACCTTTAAACCCTCCAAACTGATGTCTCTTAAACCAGAGGTTAATTCATACCTTTCGTTCTGTGACTGAAACCCTGTTTAATGACTCCAAAGGTACAGGCAACTTTGTGTAAATTTGCAGGTTCTTGGGCTCTGCAGGTTTTACCAAGAGTTTGTGTGAAAAGAGGATTGAAGGAAATGTATTTTAGCTCAGAAATATTATTTGATTAAAAGTTTACAACTTTTCTTTGGACACTTAAAAAAGGAAAGTAGAACCAACTTATTCACAAGCTGTCATTTAGAAGAAAAAACAAATACCACCTGATCTGAAGCAGATTAAGTGGAAATTATCTATCAACAAATGGGATTAATAATAGTTAACAGAAAACTCAGTGAGATTAGGAACTTTAATAAACAGCGACCCCTCTGTTTCCCTCCAATAACAATGATGCAACATTAAAAACATGTGCCATATAATTCAAGACAATTAAACAGCTGCAAACGAATTCCATCATGCGAAACAAAAATGCTTCCGACGATATCACTTGTTGAACATTCCACAAGCTTTGGCCCTTTTTTTTTTCTTCTTTTTTTACACTTGGCATGGGTGCACTCTATAAGACATTGCAGGTTTGTGACTCCTTTTCCCTTTTTCTTTGGTAGCAGCTATAAGGACCTCTGGTTGAATGGACAACCAGTCTCCAGCAGATCCCACGAGTGTGACTACCAGCAGAGTTGCAGTATTGCATTGCAGTATAATAGAACCCCACCCTTGCTTGTTTTTCACAGCCAAAGTCTATGTCATTCCCCAAGCATCTCTGACCACTGACAAGGGCCTCAAGCACTTCCACATCTAACATGTAGATGAAGAGGGTCATGCATCAAAAGAGGCATAATGGATTTCTTTGACTGTGGCTGCTCCGAGGACCTTCTATGTTTAGAAGCGTTCTTATTTAAAGACTACGATTCGGGTGATGCAGAAAATGTTGTTTAAGATGTTTGTATCTGTTCATAGTGATTAAAAATAACACACATACTGGAAAACGGGTGAATGTACAGTAACACACACCCCCCTGGAAGGCAATGCTTCATTGCCTTTCTCAGCGCCACTTCACCTCACAAGCGATGACATGTTGGAGACGGGAAGTCACAACTTTGAGCACACATACACACACACACTCACACGCTCAGGAAGGGACGGGAGCAGGTGGTGAGCCAGGGGTGAGTTCCCATTCTGGCTGGAGTATTTATAACCTGCATGGGTTGGGGCTGTCACCTCTAAACAGCCATGAAAACGCTGAAAATAGGTATGGGAACACGTTTGTTGTGTGCGTGCGTGAAGAGAACTGAGACAAAAAGAGAAACACAAACATAATAAAGACCCCTTCTTGCATGACATATTTCATTCCTCTTCACTGCATTGAAATCCACCCATTCACGGGGGACTATGCTATCACAATTTGGCATGGTCAGACACATGTACACGCACGGTGGAGGCTGTAGGGGCCTTAGGCCACATGGGATCTGACTAATGCTTTGTTCCAACAATATCCAGGATGCATGCTCTACAGGTGTTACACAACTGCTCCAACATTTCTGGATGTCACCAAACAAAGTGGCACAACAATCCTCAGTCCTCGTATCTGTGACCTGCAGCGCGCCTCGGTGTGACTTACTTTGACACGTGAGGACACACATACTTGTGCATAGCCTTAGATTTTCATCAACAGGCACAAAGAGGTTCTGATTCTATTGAAGTCCCTGAGAGGGTTTATATAAGAAGAACTGTGGCTTGCGCTTAAATCCATACATGTTCCTAACTAAAACCAGCAGAAAGGAAGGAGATGGGTCGAAATCACTTCCTCTTGATCTTTTGCACCCGAGGGACATCATTAAAAAATAATCAAGAGATCAGCGGTTGAGTGAGCCTTATTTCCCTCTCCTTCATTGGATACATATTGGAGAGGACAAACAATAAAATACTTCTGACGGGGTAAAATAAGCCTGCAAAATATGGTTATGGAATGTTTCCTACGAGGGGCAGAATGCTTTTGGAGTGCATCCATGCTGGAGTGGCAGTTGTTTTGTTTTGTTGATTGCTCTACACACTGAGTCAAATGACCATGCAAATATATACATACATACATATATATATATATATAAAATCCTCAATGTTGAAAAAAAAACTAATTTAGAGTACTTTTTTGTTTCTTTATTAAGAGACTCAAAAGTTGCTTTTCTTTAAACTGCTTCTACAAACCGCAAGGCAAAGTAAAAAGGTTTTGGGTTTCTAAAGTTGATAACCATTTAAGGACTTACCTCAGCAAGCTGAAGGATTTCAGGATGCACTTCAGGGTATGACTTTATGGAAACCCCTCCAGCGTCTGCACCAGGTTCCTGCTTCTTGATCCTGCCTGTGCTGTAGAGACACCCCATACTTCCAGCACACACCTCTTTGATTTCCTCAGTTGTTATCCTTTCCTTCCACACCGATGCCAACGAGGTCCCTCGTTTTGTCCTCCTCTCAGCACTCCATGCTCTCTAGTCTAGCTATGTCTTCTTCCACTTCAACATTTTCTTTCTCCCCCCACAGTGACTCCTCACACGTCTGCCCTTCACTCTGACAGTTTGTCCTACCCTGAAACCCACACCAGATGACTTTCACTCCCCCTTCTCCTCGTACAACCCTTCTTCCTCCCCTCCACGGTGTCACCAAGAGCTGACCTTCCACGCTACCTCCTCTTCTTACACTCTCCCCTGTCCTTTGCTTTCTGGCTATCCTCACTTTGAAAGCATGCACGCACCACTTCTCACTTGCCCCCCCCTCCCCTTCACTTGCCAGAACCTCCTTCCCTTCTCCTCGGCCTCTACCGATCTTCAAATACTCCTCTGCTCCAGTCTCACTCCATCAGGCTCCTCTCACTGTCTCTCCACATGGGAGAAGAGGGCAGCTGTTTTGACTTGTTGATGTCAGGCCCTTCCCCTTTCCGTTGGCTTAACTTTTAGCACTTCTTACACTCTTTCTCTTCCTCATGAGGGAGCAATTAGATACAACTCTGTTCACAAACGTCATCCCTCCGGTCTCCGTAACTTTGCAACAAGAGAACACAGTGTAGGTGTGATCTCATTGTTCCCACTTCTGGGGCCTTTTTAGACTAAGAGACTCAAGTGCAAGAAGCAATCTGTGATCTGCTCGCCTGGGTTTTAAGTGTATGACTTTAAGCAATGGGCAACGTTTAATTGTCCCCCTATCCTTAAATATTAATGTCACTACATCTACCATGAAGTTGTAAATGCAATTAACTAAAGCGCCCTGTTGAATAGAGCTGATGACATCAGTATGCTCCTTATTCCCGCTCTGCTCTCTCCCAACTGAGTGAAAACAACGATAGGCTCTGTGCTTAAATCTGAGATCTGCACTACCCAGCCCGATGAATTCCTGAACTGTAATGCTCCTTCTCTCTAACTCACACATAGCTGTACGAGCGTTCCCCAGGCAAAACCGTAAGCTGGAAGTTTCTTGGGTTGTAAGGGGGGAATTTTCAACAAAAAGCTCTTTCTCCAAACATGTTTTAGGTCCCAGTCAGACCATACAAAGTGGTCTTTGGTGAATGCTGACCGAAATCCATGGCTGAGTGCTATATTAGGCTGGAAAGCATCAACGTGGGCTGGTGAGGAATTGCGGCAGATATATTTCTGTATTTTAGATCTAATTTACATGTCAGCAGATACTTCATATCAGAATGATCTCTGGGTAGATCTTGTGACTGGAGCTATACTCTTCTCGCGGCTTCAAGTGGAGGACGGACGGAGCCTCTTGTGTGGATCAGCTGCTGTAACACATCGTATTGGGGTGGGGGCTGGTGATGGGATGATAGGGTGTCTGAATCCTGAACCCCTGAGATGCAGTGCTCTTTTTACAGATACTTACTAGCTATTTAAAGTATCAGCAATAAATTCAGAGGTAGACTGCTGCATTTCTTGAATGACAAATAAAGAGTCATTCCTGCCAGGCTGGGTTAAGTGGCAAGAGACCATTCACAACTGACAAGAGAGCACAACACTGTAAAAAGATGAGCTGTCTTACTCTTGTCTAATTTATCCAAGATTTATTCTATTTTGTTATAGATAAAAAAAAAATGCTTATCTGTGTACATTTCTTGAAACATGGACCTATCAAAAGGATGCAAACAAGCTTTTATTCTCACAAATCAGCGGGGTACACTAACTATAGGCAAAGTACCTCACTTATAAGCACATTCTGCTTCTACTGCATATCAGAGGATCCATTTGCATTCAGCTTACGTTTGTATTTGGTCAACATGTTGCTATCTACTGCCATCTAGATGGTGTCTATTTCAGGGTAGCCTTGCATACTTAAGTAAAACAACTCTATAATGCGGTCTGCATCTATCACAACAGCAGGGCTTTGGAGAAGAACCCTGGTGCCGGACTGGCCTGCACCTGGTGCATTATGAGGTAGTGTTGAGCAGTTATAGTTCTCAGTCACACAGGAATGGGACAACAGAAATTCCCTAAATGTCCAGCAAACAGTCTATACAGTTAAATAATGATTGCTCATCTGTGATAACTGAAAAAGTGTGTCTTTGTAAGTCGCTTTGGATAAAAGCGGCTGCTAAATGCATACACATAAACAGTTATTTATGACTTGTTGTTTGAGTAGAATTATGATGCATAGAACTACTGGGGTTGTTTAGCAGTACAACTACAAACACAAACTACTATTCTTACTATTACCTTCAATGACTGCTGAGAAGAATGGCTGACTTGCAAAAAGTTCAGATGCCCCATTTCACATAGAGTCCTTGTAGGTTGACGAAAAGCTCAGCAGGATAATCACCAGCTGCCACCTGGTATTCGGACCTCAGCAGGGGGCTGAGCCTGAAGAAACACCGGAGCCCCATCTGCCTCCAGGACCACACCGGGAGAAGAGTTAGAAAAATACTTTGTTGGTACACTGGAAATTCTCCCAGTGCAGCCCACCCTGATCCATTAAGCAGGTTAAGCTTGTTGTGTGGATAGTTTCATTAAAATATCAAAACACAACTGATTAATTCAACTGTTTGTCTGTACAACTAACATGCAGTGAATTTAGAAGAGAAACGCTGGCCTGACTCACTGGACTAACACCTAGATAACAATGACCACATACTATTTGAATGTCCATAATCACTGCAATTTATTGCAAACTGGAAGACAAGTTCATCTCATTTCATGGACATTCCCAAGCTCTTAGGACGTTTGCACTTTCCAAATACGAGTATGGAGGTATATATGAACTGTAAATGACTCAAGACAGCCGCGGAAAATCTACAACATGGACGAAAACAATCCATTGTGGGACTTTCATGTGATGCAGTACCTTCAAAGTGTAGCAATGGAGGGGCATCTGCACAACGATGGAGAACTGCAATGGCACTTGATGGATTCTCAGTAAGAGTCAGGGTAGGCTTCTTTTCTTTCATTCTAAACACACAAGTCAACTTGCCAAAACTGTTGTCTACACATTACTCTTCCAGTAAGACTATGGGTCGCTTTAATAGGCAATAAGTTCAATTAATGAATACTGAATACATGATAGCAAGCGTGAGAAGAGGTTCATCAATAAACTTTCTATGATTGCTTTTGAAATACCAGATTGCTTACGAGGTAAAAAGGGATTGTAATAAACCTGTGCATTTGTTTGAATTATGCAAGTCCAATACTGATTAAAAAACGGGTCCACTCTAACTATCTTCTGTCATTCCATCTCACCTCAGCATGACTGCAATCCACAAATATACAAAATTCATGTTTCCCACTTTTCCATTTATTTATTACAATTAATTCAATGTTATCCATCATTTTTCCATGTGTCAGCTTTTTTCTCTTTTTTTATTTATTTAAAACAAGTCCAGTATGTGACTATTCTTTAGAACCTGAAAAGTCCTGAAGGTGGGGCAGGGGAGGAGGGATGGGTGGGTGATATGAAAGCAAAGGACAGGTTTGCAGAAGAAAAGAAGGGTGGGAGTGGTGTCTCCCCTCCCCATAGCCACTTCCATGTCAAGAGATTTTTCATAAGCTATGTGGAATTCTTTTTCTTTTTTTTTTTTCCTTTTTATTTTGAATTTGTCATTTACTCCTCTTCCTGCACTCTCAGGCCATGTTTTTTCATTTTCATTATTCAACGTCCCCCGTGTCATCTCCTTGGTCTCCGTCCATTAGCAATGCGGCGTACTTGCTGGCTGAGCTGAACTTCTGAGGAAAGCACAAACAAAAAGCAAACAGCTTTGAGTGTAAAAAAAACTTTATCAAAACCGAGTGGTTTGAGATACAGGGAGGAAGTGGGATAGAGGCCTTCAGTTATCCCGGGGACCACTTACAGGGGTTGGGGACTCTTCGAATTTCTTTGGCTCTGGAGGTGGTCTGGAGTCTCGGTCTCTTCTGTTGTCCTTTCTACAACCATAATTGACAAACTGGTTAGTGGGTATCAATATAAAGGAGAAAGAGGTAACCCTGGGGCTGATTCCTCACAGCACACACAGACTGGAGCCGTCATGGTACAGGACAACAAGATCTGCTCAATCTTGTCTGCCAGGTTTTCTGCACATCCCGATGTGCACAACTCAACAAAGCTATAAGACCCCATCATCCGTCGTGAGATTGGGTCAGTCTTTTAAGATGCCCCCGGAGAAGGTCCTGCCTGCCTCAATAGCCTTTGCAGGGGCTAGCTTTGGGTGGCTGACCTGTCTGCCTCCTTTCTTCGGTCTTTATTGGGCCCCTCTCCTCGGCCCCGCCCAGCTGCAGTCCCTGCAGGTCCCCCTCGTGCCCGCGGGGGCCCCCGGTCCCGACGCACACCATCAGCCTTGTTCTCATCTTAAAGGAGAAGCCAGACAGTTGAGTGAAGGGAGGAAGGTGGACTCGGCACAGTAGACTACACTCGCAACACAAGCCTCAAAAGCAAAGTGTTGGATTTAAATTGTGTTAGTCACTGAAGGAGGGCCAAATGAGAGGTGCACAACTAAAAGATCACAAGCTGCCTTGCACAGCAGATCCACCACTTCTCAGATCTGATTCACGGTTGAAAACGTGCGTCTGATGTTGTCACATCAAGACGGATTTCATCTGAATTTGGCCAATTTTCACCGATTGGTCCAAGAGAATCATCGTCTGTCCGATAACGGACAGCAGTGCTAGGCTTGTAGATTGTGGATTTGGCATCTCTGTGCTAAGCAAGCAAAAGAAAAATGCCACAACTATTCCCAAAGAACGACAACTTGCTATCCAGAAGAGAAAAAAAAGGGACAATGGACACTGATCCGCGGGGGAGTGGGAGAACTCAACCTTCTACTTGTAGGATGATGGACACTATCTGTCTGCAGTTCAAAGGACATACCAGCGGGTGTCACTGAGATTTCTACAGAGCAACACTGCAATGAAGCTTGAGCAGGACCAAACAAGGCAAAGAAGAGCCTAAAATGAACTCCAAATGGGACTAAAGCAGCCAAGCGGGATGAGGGCAACAACGAGGACCAGAGGACTGAAAACTCCACACGGATGTTGGTGCGACTTCAACAGCTTAATGGAGTCCATTACAGCTGGAGAGGGTTTTTTTTGCGTTCAACACTCAGTGACAGGCCTTACCCTTTCCAGATCCTTTCTCATCTGCAGAACTTGAGGAACTAAAGGGAAAAGAAAGACAGTCAGGGAATAACATACACACAAAAAAGGAATCCATGACTGTCCCTTTGCATTTCAGAGTTTGGTTCTTTCACCAAAGGGGAAAAGTGCATTTTCCCCTCAATGACTCACTCTGACAAGTGGAGCTGTGTTCTCACCTGAACTTGGGAGGAGCAGAACCACCCGGGGAGACGGGGGAGACTGGGGCTCGTCCATCGCCCTCGCTTGAGCCTGTGCTCACTGCACTTCTCTTGGCCCACGCATTCTCCTTGGGGGGAGGAGCAGGCATCACTTTCAGCGGCTCCTTGGTGGAGCTGGTGGAGGAGGATCGTGCTGGGGGCACTGGGGAGGTGTTCCCTTCTCTGCCAGAGAAGACCTCATTCTCACCAGAGCGCTCTCTGTCCTGACACCTGGACCCTGGTGGAAGACATTTTTCCTTTTTCAAAACAAAGTCTGAAGTAGTTTTCAGCACAAAAAAAGAACCGAAGAGTTCTGGAGTTGACCCCTTTAAAGACCCCTTTTTTCTTCTACCAATTAAAAACTGAAAAGGTTTTAAAATATCCCGACATTTTCCTGTCTGTGATAATACATAGACATATGTGCCTCTGGTCCAAACTATGGTCAACATAATTAACACTTCCTGCTCATCAAATCATTTTTGTCAATTGTATCATCCATTATAGATATTGAGGCTAAATGTGTGGCAATGTGCTGAGAAGAGCTCGACTAAAAGGTGCAACACAGAATCTTGTGTCTTACTTCATGAACAACTAAAAAGGTTTGAAATCGGTATCCTGATTGAATGTACGAATCAGTGGTGAACCGTTTGAACCTCTGAGGACAGAATGTGAAGACAATACGATCTGTGAGGTAGATTTCTAAAAGCATGCCATATCAGAAAGTATCTCACCCCTTCCAGAGGTGCTTCCTGGCTGTGAAGACTCGCTGCCTGTGCGGGACCGCTCAGTGTGAGGTTCCTCAGTGCGCCAGCTTGGGTCCCTAACAACCAAGAGAAAATCTATAAAGCCCTTCACAGAACACATGTTCCATTGTTGTAAAAACTGCTCGTCAGCACCATTAATAACTCTACAGGTAGGGTGCAAACTGACAAGAAACAATACATTTAAATACATTTTTTAAATACTTAAATTAAAACATATATAACTTCTAAGTCCAGCTTCCTCTAAACCCTTTAGAGCAGCCATTAAGGCAAGATGAGTTGATCAAATAAAATCTAAAATAAGGAAACCATATCATATTTTAATGTCTGTTTCGATAATTCTATTAATGAATGTTAGTGGTCACTGACTTGTCTCGCATCTTTCTCTCAGGGGCCCGGCCTTTGTCCTCCTCCAGCTGCCTCTGCAGCCTCTCTTCCTCTTTCTTCAGCCTCTCCTCCACTTCCCTCTCCTTGGCAGCTGTGTCAACAGGTTTTGCTGCACCAAAGATGGAGGAAGCCCTGGTGCCGGAGCTTGGAGCGGTAGCAGGGGAAGTCCCCCCGCTGCTGCCGGTACCTTCCTCCTCCTTTGGTACACTGCGGGGCTTCAGGTTTAACTTGGGTCGCTGCAGAGGAGCTGAGGACGGGGCAGAAATAACAAAAATCTCAGCATCTACAAATCAGATGCAGACAAGCCTGTGGAAGAGTCGGGGGGGCTGATTGGTACTCTTCATGTACACTGTAGCAACTCAGTAAAACAGCTCTTACCCCCCCTCTCCTCACGCCTCTCATCTCGTCTTTCCTCCCGGTCGCCGTAACGCTCCCTTTCACCGTAGCGGTCACTGCTACCCCGACTATCGTCGTAATCTCGGCGAAAGCCAGTCCCAAATGCACGGCGGCCGCTTCCCCCGCGGGAATCAAAACCTACGCAGACAAACAGGAGCAGAGGGCATAATGTTGTGAACAGGAAGTGACATGACATGAACAAAGTAGGAAGGCACATAAGAGCTCAAACAAAAATCTGACTGATGAGAATGGGATGGTTCAAATGTGGATTGAAAAGGTTGGACACCAGTCAAAGACAGAATAGAAGTAAAACACAGACCCCGACAAACGCAACACCTCACCTCCTCTGTCAAAGTCTCTGCGATCCCTGTCGTCATAGCGATCCCTGCGGTCCCTGTCGTCATAACGGTCCCGGTAGCGGTCTCTGCCTCCGTCGTAACGGTCATTGTCACGGCGTGGGCCATCCCTGTAACGGTCCGACTCGTAGCGGTCCCGTGATCCTGCAACAGGACAACCACAAATCCATCAGAGGGCGCGGCCGGGTTCCTCTGCTCAGCCAGAAAAGCCAGTGTTTTACAGGAAGCGCCATAGATGGAAATAATATCTCACTTACTTTCTCCAAAGGCATCATCCCTCTTTGGAGGTCCATCATCAGCGTCCGCACTTGGCCGAGCTCTCCAGTCACTGTCTGTCTTGTCAGGACCCATGTCTGCCATCCGTCCACCCCTATCTCTGCCTCCCATGATACCGTCTCTTTCTGAAAGGCGGAAAAACGGTTCCATTAAAATAAATTTAAAACTCATCAACTAACTAAATCTAGGAGAATGTCAAAGAGAGGCACAGAGGAGTCTCTCAAACTGCTCAGAAAGACCACAACAGCTAGAAAAATACCTTTATCATTAGATTGGTCGGCAATATCGACACGAATCCTTCGGTTCCCCAGATTCTGTTGGCAAAAACGAGGAGCACAAAAGAGACGGTTATATAAGTTATTGTTTGACATATTTTGAGAAATAAATGCAATAAAAACAATTCCCCAATACAGGAAAACCCGTTGCCATAAAGAAAGTGTGTGTTTTTACGTCTTGTTTGTCTCACCTCTTCATTAAGACTCAGAGCTCGCAGGAGGGAATCGACATCATCAAATTCAGCATAGCCAAAGCCCTTCAGTCTCTCTGGGTTACTGGGCTCTCGGGGCAGACGCACGGCACTGATCTGAAAACAGAGATGACCACAAATCAACCACATTATTCTCCAATTAGAGCCTGGACTCTGGACTGCACAAGATGGAGTCCGACAATGAGTAGATAAAAGCATCTGCCAACTAAATGCTAAAATGTAAAATTAACCGCAAAGCGCCAATTAAACTGCAGCGACATAAGCTGTTGAGTTCACAGTAGACAGCTTTTAACACAACTAGACATTAACCGTCTGATGAGCCATCATATCATTGCTGCTACAGCACCAAGTTTAAACTGCCTTGTGCCACTGTAAACGTTTCACACAATGGAGGCATCAGAACTCTAAACGTGCATTGGAGGTCTTTTGTAGACCTTATTATTCTACAGTAATAACATGCTCTGACGTCATCTCTTTATTCAGGAGGATGTGTATTAATCTGAATCCTTTATTTAAACAGGATTCTGACAAATGGAGCAGACACACAGACCTGTGTATCATACGTCTAGCTAGAACGGAACAGAAACCCGTTTCAGTGTTTGTGCTGCTTTGCAGAGGGCTGGTGAAGGCTGCATTACTAAACCTTTTATGTGCTGCTCTGTGTGTGTTGCACCTACTGCCAAGCCGCGGAAGAAGTCTTTTATCGAGTCCTCGGTGACATCGTAGGGCAGGTTTCCCAGGAAGGCCGTGTATGGCGGGCTGCGGGGGAGTTTGGACCGGTCAATGTTGGGCTCGCGGGCCGAGCGAGGAGCTGTCGGCAGGATGGAGCGGTCAATGGGTGGGGCCCGGTACGTGTCTTCTTCAGTGTGCCACGATGTCGACACTGGAGGATTAAACAGAAGAAAGAGAACATTTCTTTTAGAATATTCAATCACTTTTAATAATTAGCACTTTACTTCTTTAGAGTCTAACAATGTAAAATAACACACAACATTGAATAATTCCCACTAGAATTGTCCAAGTAAAAATAAGGCATTTCATTCTCATTTTCTATGCTATCCACTTGGAAACAGTTAATTCTGGACCTGTCCCTGTAAAGACAGCAGCCTACAATACATGATGTGTAGCTGCTTGGGCTGTGTGCAGCAACACAAAAGCAAGACAATTGTAAATGCAGGAAACAAACAGTGAGGTTCAGCATGGAGAGTTTACAAAGAAAAGAAGTTAGACATATTCCCAGCATACCAAATGGTTTAGCTAAGTTTAACGAAGAAGAGCATCAGTCTGGTATTCCAGCACAGACTGAGCTGAAAACAGTTGGTAACTGGTTTAGTTTTACACCTTTCTAAAACAATCTTAGTCATCAGTTTGATCACACATGTCGACAACACCACCAGTTCAACTGCATTCTGTACTTTAATCTCTCTAAACTCATACAGACATTAGTCTACTTCAAGCATTAAACTCTTCAATAATCTTCCCAGAAAAGAATCTTGCACGGACAAGTTCTTTCAGGAAGTGTTATTTTTTTAAAGAAAACTATTAGCTCTTCTCACAGCATGACGGCGCCTTAGGAGGACAAAAAAAGATGTTCTGGTTCAGTCTTTGCTGGTCTGTCTTTTACAAGTCACGACAATATCGCTGGTTAGAGCACCACGCTGGCTCTCCCTCAAATCAGGTTCACACAAAACGATTTTAGAGTTTAAGAGTTGTCAGATGATTTTACTCTTCAAACTTAATAAAGCATAGCTCTTGTTTTTTTGTTCTTTTCAAATCTCCACGTCTGAGCTGTGATAGGGGGTCACAATGTTAGATTCTTCTCTTGCCTCAGCCCTTCCGGATGGGAGGTGGTGAGCATATAAATACTAACTGTAAACAAACCCGAATCCTTTTTCTTTGGCTTTACAGTACCAGCCAAAACCTTTGGCCATTTCCACTCATTTCAAATGTCCAAACTTTGGACTGGTACTGTACACTGACCATTGGTTACTGCCTTCACAGCAACAGTAACTTGATATTTGGATGCAAATCGAACACACGAATGACAAAAGGGTTTGCCTCAGATTTAAATATTCTGCTGCTCCGCTTTTTTTTTACACTAAGAAACATCTTGTGACAACACACTGAAGGTTCAGAGAAACCAGCAGTATCAGTAGAAGCTGCAGTATTTTTCAAGTTTTTACAAATTCCCTTTTAAATGATTCAAAATCTTTAGTCATAAAAGATTAATAATAATATTAACAAACTGTGCTGCGCTCACCATCTCCATCGAGGTCATCAGTCTCATCGGCCCAGCTTGTGGACTTGGATGGGTAGCTGGGTGGTGCGGGGTTGCCTCCACTGTCCTCTGCCAGGAAGTCAGTCAGAGTGAGGGTCTTCCCCTTCTTATTCTTCTTTTTAGCTAGAGAGAATGCAAACAATCAAGCGTTATCCTCTGAAAAAACATGATACGTCATAGATGAATTGCTCAAATAGATGTCTCAGAAGTAAAAAGTGAACTGCGATTATAACTAAATGTCTGCAAAAGTGCACAAATGCCACCGTTTACCAGGCCAAATGATAGTCTAAGCAGAAGTGTGACTCTTGCAAGTCCAAGAATCATGCAGCAGTAACTTCTCCAGAGCTGTGTTTTAATGCTGCAATTCCTCCAGCAGACGGGAACAATTTGGAGCTGAGCAGCGAGACGTTGTCCAGCTAAGCTAGATAAGGGGGGGCCCTGATGTGCGTGTAATAAAACAGACTTATTTTCCTGTTGCAAAGAAGAGACGCAGGGAGTGGTTCGCCTGTCCAACCGTCAGTGTGCAGCAGGTCACACAACGTTTGCATGCTCTAGTCAAAGAGCTAGGTGGCAATGACAGCATACTTACACCATCAAACGTCTGCAAACGTGCACAAATGCCACGGCCTAAAAGCTGTTGCTTAGTGTCCAGATCTGTCATTTCTGTGTCCTTTAAGACCTTACCATTATTACGTTGCTGCTCACAGCAATTATTCACCTCATTCATTACAATTTACATCCCCCCGTCTATTTCTTATTACCTGGACCGATATGTTGGTTTTCCATCGTTATAGGCAACACTATAGCATTTGAAAGTGGAAATGTCATATTAGATGATTAATCTCTGTGTGCCACATTCTGAGGGGTACAAAAATGGCACAACTGGCCATCATCTCAATGAGCTGTAGTCCGGCTTCATTACTATTGGCTTGATCATTGTGGATTTTGTTGGAGAGCCAAAAACCACAGCACTGCACCACAGTGAACATATTTTGGTCGTGAGTTTGTTGGACATGCATCAAGTGTTGCATGCAATTTTAAAAGCACACAAGTAATACTAATCCATAAAGGCGGAGTATGGATGCATCATTACTCTTGTGAAATAGTTAACCCACTAATTTCACAGAAAAATACACATCATTAATTCAAATTCCAATTGCTTGTTGCTAATTCCTGGTGTCTGCAAATGCTCCGGCTCATTATGGAACATTCCCCATGGTGTTTGAATGTCAACAGTGAGCACCAGTTGCCCAGGGGGTTTCACACAGTTTATATAACAGGTTAGAATTGTTTTGGTCTGAGGCAGAAAAGCAGCACACACAGAGCTAACTGGGGGCTTTATTGTTAAAATCCCAGTTGTAAGGACATTATTTACAAACACATACAGGGAGAGGGGAAAAAATATGCTCTAGCTGTTTACTATTTCCGAGGAAACAACTAAAAGGAGTTGTATAAAATCAACCCCACTGACATCACGTTTTTAGATATATCACCACGTTTTCTTAGCGCGTCGCACTAATGTACCGTTCAAGTTTTCCTCTTTGATGAATAAAAGCAGTAACTGTGTTATTACAGTTTTTAGTAAGCACGTAGCTTGTTTGTATGCTATTTCGGCTGATCGCTTTTGTCTCCATGCCTATGCGGGCTTAGTCAGCAGAGGACTGCTGACGGGGGAAGTATCCCTGCTTAGCTGGCTAGGTTTTAGGGCCTAGTGCACGTCGCAGCACCAGCATCCAAGTGCGCCATCAACGGCGCGGGACTTAGCCGATCGCAGAAGACTTCTCAAAGTTGTGACGCTCAAAGATAGAGTGTTTAGAAATCGAACCGACGAGCCGAATTGCCCCATTTCGTCTAAAAGCACGAGCCGGGGAGCAGCGCGACACACGTGGGGAGACTCCTCAGGCCGCCCGGACCCGTCGGCCCGACCCCTCCTCCACAGATCGCGCTTGCGCCCGGCGCCTCTTCGCCCTGAGCGCCACGGCGAGCCCCGCCGCTCACATACAATGTGCCAGCTCCGAACGCACTTACGAACATTCGGGGGGTCGCGTCATCCACCGCCTAACACTCGTAATAACGAGAGACGAGAAACGTCTTTACGCCAAACGCCGACCCAATAGCCTTAAAAGTACCGCTCGACTGAAATTTGTACGGTTAAAATGTCCCAACTATGAATAAGTCGTTGCTTCGTTCATTCGCCTGCCGCTAACAGCTATGCCTTTAGCGGGCTAAAACACGCGACAGATATGTTTATAGACACGGGACAACGGTCCAGACCGATAAACCGACAATACTGACGTCCTCGAGCTTATTTTGTTCAACTGTCTGAAGATTTAACCCTCAGAAATTCTCTCTATCCGACCCGGATCGTTCACCCACATAAACCTCACCTGACGCCGCCATGTTGGAGAGCGAGTTCGTTGTAGTACCCGGATGTAGGCGTCAGAGGTTTATCATCGGGAGCGCGCATTGGCGATCACGGGCCTGTGCCTCCTCCCTTGTTTACTCACTGTCCCACAGTTGCTCATTTGGGATGAATGACATTAAGTTAATTTTCTGCAATGTTTGTCAGAACCAACTCCACCTCCCCCAGCTGGCAGATAAATTCTGCTTTGTTTGAATAATTGTACCCAAAACTTATTCCAGAAATATAATATCTTTAGTTTTGCTTGACATTCTAAAATAGCCAATAACCCAAGTCACGAGTGATGAAAATGCTAAATTCAGATAAATGCAGTAAACACGACATGTTTATTGTAACAATGTTGTCCTCATTAATCTTCATATTTAAATAGTCATGTATATTTCCACTTTAAAAAATGAACTGTCAAATGAAATATCATGTTGATGTGGACCTAATGTCCACACTTACTTTTATCTAAATTTCCATCCATTTTCCATATGTGATATGTCCAGTTCAGGGTCATAGGGGGAGAGAGTGGAACTCGTCCAAGCCATAATTTAGTGAGAGGCAGGGCGTGCATTAAACAGGTCATCAGTCTATCACAGGACCGCACAGAGACAAATGACACATGGCCATGTGCACTTTGTTATTCTGTGTAAAATGACAAAGAACAAATGGCATCATAGACAGACAAATTGATCAATTCATGGAATTCTAAGGAAGTCAAGGTCATGTCGAATCTTCAGGTCTTCAGACAAAAAACAAAGCTGCTGATCATATAGTAAAAATCTATATTAATCACAGTTTATTGTTCTATGCATAAAAGCAAGTCAAGATGATACCCTGCATTGAAAAAATACATGGCCAAACCTATGTAAACTAAATATAGACTTCTCTGGCCCCCAGATAAATGTAAAATGACCGTGTAAACTTGTTTCATCATACTAAAATGAATTTGATTAAGTCACAAATCATCCTGTTTTAATTTCTTCTCTGAATGTCTGTCCATTTAATGCAACAATTTTTATCAAATGAAAGATCACAAGACCCACGGCTACTTTGACAAACCGTTTGTTTTGTGTGAATGCAAGAAAAACTGTTTCAAATACCAAACTGATGTGATAAATTTCCATTGGATTGAAGGAATGTGGATCCACGTTAACTTCAGTGCATCCCTGCTCCCTAGTGGTCAAATATAATAAGGCTATCTCCAAATTTCCAAACTGAAAAAAATGTGTTTTATGTCATGTATTTGAGTTAGATATAATTAGTATCTGACTGATACCTACAACGGAAACAAATAGTTTTGTATTGTAAACATGATTGCGTAAAATAAATGTTTCAATTATCTTGATCTGTCCTGACTTCCACTTGAGTCCTGGACTTTCTCAAGGAATGCATTCATGTAGTACTGCGCAAGCTTCAAGGTTTGGGCTGTATACAGAGGACTATAACCTGCAAGGCCTATTGCCTTCTTTTAAGCTTTCTTTGATTAAAACCTTTTTGAAGAAAAATTGAGCAGGGTCTTTTACTTAAAAAGAAAATAAATACAAATCATGCAAGAGGGGAAAAAGTAAATACAGAAACACATGTCTCACAAGTTGGTTTCATTTATTTCCATAATGCCGAGCAGTGGTTCTTTATTCTTTAAAATTGGTTTAAGGAAAAAAAATTGGGGGCTTGTTGGATCTGGAAACCTCTGGATTCTTTGTTCTAAACTAGCTTGTGGCTAACATCTCATCCACTGCATCCTGGAGCCTGAAAACAAAACACATAACAGTTTACACATAGTTTAGTCTTAACCATGCAAATAACCAGCAGCCCCATGCTGTCTTGAACCATTTTCCATCATTGATGAATTTTACCTGAAATCTCCACCATCCAGCAGAGTCTTGTAAGTGCTGATCTCAGCCTCAAGTTTCATCTTCATGTTGAGCAGTGCCTCATATTCATGGGTCTGATCTTGGATGTTTGCACGCAAGTTTGTTAGTTCTTCTTCCAGACGGACAATCTGGTCATTGTACTTCTCCATTTCCATGTTGTTACGTAGCTCTGTGTTGCGCAAAGTGTCCTCTAAAGAAGCTTTCTGTTGAAGGAGTTAAAGGAAGGAGGCAGGGTGTGTATTAAACAGGTCAGTCCATCACAGGACCACACAGACAAATTAAACATGACCATGCATGCCTTGTTTTAAGAGTAAAATGAAAAAAAGGCATCATAATGCATACAACATGAGGAATGAGAATTTACTTTTGTGCAGTATTTGTTAAAAAAAATAAAAAAATATGCAAAACATTATACAAATACTTACTAAACTCTTTTGGGACGCAAGTTCAATTTCCAGGGTCTGAATCTGTCTGGAGGAGTCACTCTTCTCCATTTGGGCCCCCTGAAGAGCTTCTGTGTTCTGGGAAACCTGCACCTGAACATCTGCCATCTGAAAAGGAAAATTATGTAAACTCTCAAGACACTCGAGCAGTGTAGCATCTCATGATCGTAAATGCTTTTAAGCCTGTATACCTGATTTTCATGCCAGCGTTTGAGATCTTCCGCATTCTTTAGAGCGATCTTCTCATAGTTTGATCTCATGTCCTCCATGATCTGGGCCAGGTCCTGACCTTTAGGAGCATCTACGTCCACTTGAACACCCGAATGGGAGATCTGATTTCTCAGTTCCATTACCTCCTGTTAGAAAAGCAACAAAAGGGAAAATAATTTAGCTCAACTCTTGGGAGTTATACATTTTCATCCTCATTGCAAAGTATAACTGCCAGTTTGACCTTAATGTAGCTGGTCTAAATATTTTTCTGCTTCTGGGAAGTTCTTATCTCATCGCTGTGATAAATGCATGTAAACAATAGTTAAGAAAAATATGGGCACAGTAACTGGCATACGCCTTTGCTGAAAATGTGAGACTAAGACATAAACACTTTAAAAAGGTATTTGGTGTTACATGAGACTTTGTTGCTCCAGGTAATTTCTCCAGAATTTGTCTAGTTCTTTGTTCAGTTGTACATAAATATAATGTAACAGTTTTACACCATAGCATTACCATTTATATTGAAGATGAAAAGTCAAATATTTCTAATGAGTGGGACACCAACTAGTTATTTCTTTAACAAGTTCTTTTCAATGGTTAATAGGGAACCATGTGAGAAGGACTAAACAATAATTTGCCCAGAAAACTGTAGATTGGCCACAATCTATTGATAGCTTTATAGTTGGGCTTGTTTTCCTTCATCTGGGACTGGAAAGTCCAAACAAAGTAGACACTACTAAAAGAATGTCTATCAATCAAAGTGAGCCATTAACAATTTAACTCGCAAACTTAAACATGAAATAGGGTCCGGTAATGCAGCATCATCTCAGAGTGGTTCTGTTCAGACTAATTTACAAAAAAGTCCTAAAACTATGTCTCAAACAATTAAAATAATTTAAATGTGTATTCTTAACATATGTCTGTCAGACATATGAAATATTAGGATTCTCCTTACATAAATCAACTATTTATGCCATGGTACTCATTTCCGTTATCTTCTACTACTTTTGGGATTTGTGATAAAATCTTACATTATGAGTCAATATTTACTGGTAATTTCTATATAGGAAAGTAGTAGACTTCAAAGCATTTAAAAACCTTAAAATAACATTGCATCAGTGGATACTTGTAATTGACTTTGGCTCTCTTAGAATACTCTTTACAGTATTAACACATCACACTTTACATAGAGTTTTATCAACTCTCTATGTAAAACCAGAAACTCACATTCTCATGATTCTTCTTCAAGAAGAGGAGTTCCTCCTTCACAACTTCAATCTCGTTCTCAATGTTCATCCTGGCAATATTGGTTTCATCTATGACTTTCTTCAGCCCACCAAGGTCACCCTCCACAGACTGCCGGATTGCCATCTCATTCTCAAACCTATGAGAAAGACGCATAATTAAGAACAAATGCCGTTTACTTGTTTTTTTCCACCAAGCAGTGCAGTGGAACATTACAAACATGAGGAATAGCCAAATCACATACTTTACTTTGAAGTCATCAGCAGCGAGGCGGGCGTTATCAATCTGAAGGACTAAGCGAGCATTATCAGCAACCTTATCAAAGATCTGTAGGAAGAAGAATTTACAAGAACGTTGATTTCATTGGATAATATCATTTGAACACTGAGTGCCAGTGATTTTGCTTGCAGGAATCTAGTCTGTGGCATCCTCACGCAATGCATTTTTGTGGTCTCAAACAATGTGTTTTTAAGACAGTGGCCTTCTTTCACATCAACCAAATCTATGATCGGACTCAATGTTTCCTCGTTACCAACAACAGTTGCTCAGAAGGAAACTGCTGTCTGATCTCAAATGGTAGAGCTCTAGTGATAAAACAGGAACCATAAACTGAGGAGCAGGAAATGGGGAGGTTTCTGTGCCAAAAACAGAATCTGGTTTGATTTAGCCTTGCTGTAGAAATGGATTTCCTGTCTGAATACTTTTTTTTTTTTTGCAGAATTTGTATGTCCAGCTGCGTTGTTGCTGCCAATCTTTGTGAGTGGGGAAATTCTTCATGCATGACTTTGTTAAAGAGATTATGAGACCATGATATCCTGTCAGAGGGGAAAAAGGAAACTTTTGTCCCTTTTATGGGTCGAGAAACAAAGTACCAAGATCAGTGTGTCACTATGTGACACTGAAGAACTGGACTGTGGATAGGAATGTGGCATTTGCCTCTGTGGACTGGAGCCGATCGTTATACAACCCCTTGAACCACACACATCTGCGTGCTCACTCTGGCAGTGTGATATCCTTTGTCTATGTGTGTGTGTGTGTCATTACCATGCACACATCTGTTTCACATTGAGGCCCTCCTACACCAGTGCATGCTTTTAGAGAAAGCAGCTAAAAAGCTGAACCATTTGGAAATGCTTTTGCTTCTTGGTTGCCCGAGAGCCTCCATTCAGTCAAACCCCAGTGATCCTCGTGTTTGTGAATCATCAGGGGAAGTTCTGGACTGTTTGTGGCACTGAAGGGTTTTAAAGGGGGAAGGGCTCAAACCACAGAATGCAACCACACCCTTTATTCTCATGCAAGAAATTGGATAGCATTGAAATGGAAATAGTGCCCGTTTTACCATTCTCCATATTACAATGTATATGAATATTTTGTGCATAGGTGCAAAAAACAAGGGGGAAACAAAAGTCAACACTTTGTCAAACCCTGAAATTTAGATACTCATTTTGTCAGGTATTAAAATCCTCACCTTTTCACCTGTCCAAATCACTGTTTCATACTTAACAGTCAACTGTTCATGGAATTCTTATTCTTACCTGTCTCCGTAGGTCTTCTATGATGGCGTCGTACTTGCTGGAGTCTCTCAAGTCAGGGCCCCCCTTCTCCAAGGCTTCCCTGATCTTTATCTCCAGCTCTTTGTTGGCCTGTTCCAGGTTTCTCACCGTATCCAGGTAATTGGCCAGGCGGTCATTCAGGTTTTTCATGGCCCCTTTCTCGTTTCCCATGATCCCACCACCAGCGCTGGCACCGGCACCCATTCCTGCAGACATGCTGGCACCGCCATATCCAGACCCCATGCCACCACCCATTCCACTGCTCAGCTTGAAAGCACTTGAGGAAGATGACATTGGAGCACCAGAACGCAGGGATGATGCAGAGGCAGAGGAAATGCGGGTTCCTTGCCCACCAGCACCCCCATAAATGCTGGCTGCACGGTACTGGGGTGCGGAGCGGGTCATGGAGATCCGGCTGGAGGGAATCTGCTGAATGCTGGAGGTTCTGAAGCTCATCTTGGAGAAGGTTTGGCTTTGTGGAGAGTGAAGTGAGAAATGAGATGCAGATGCTCACTGCTGGCCGGCTTAGAAAGTGACGCTGGCAGAGGGAAGTGGGGAACTTATACTCCTGCCTCTCTTCCTCAACCACAGCTGGTCTTTCAGACCCTGCCCACTTCAGCATCGGCCAGTCTTTGTTCCCGCTCTCTCTCACTTCTCCCTGGTTTTATCGCTGTTCCCTTTTTTCTGCATGTTTTCTGTCACCAAGGAAACATGTAAAACATGTTTTGTTATTTAAACATTTTAGAGCAGTCAGAGCACACTGAACTTCAGATATAAACAGCTCAAAGCAAACAGGCAGACATGGTTAAGCACTGTTTCCCAATCCTGGTCCTCAAGGCACACTGCCCTGCATGTTTTCCAAGTTTCCCTGCTCCTGCACACCTGATTCAAATAAATGAGACCACTTTTCAGCTATGCAGAAGGCTGCTGGAGTCCCATTCATTTCAATCAGGTGTGCTGGAGCAGGGAAACCTGGAAAACATGCAAAGCAGTGACTCTTGAGGACCAGGCTTTGGAAACACTGGTTTAATGAACACAAAGCAGATTAAAGAAAGCTGTAAATGATATTCTGTCCAGAAAAAAAAATCTATGCTTCAGTCAAAATGGGTGAAACAGAATTCAAACCTAAAGTGAAATGGTAGAAGATTTGGGGTCAGTGAGTTTTTCTTTTTAATGGAGAACTTCTTAATTCTTGTGGTTTGTCCATAAAAGGCAGAATGTACTAGTTGCTGCATAGTTTTGAAGATCGCGGCAAGCAAAGTCCAAAAATAAACAGTCTTCCCAGCCTCCCAAGCTAGATCAAGTTGAAGATAAGATAGAGCAATGGCAGATTTCAGAAATGAGTGCCGTTTTACACAAATCATCCTGATTAAGTTTCAGCATTGTAAGTAGAATAATAATAGAATGAGACCCGTAAAAGAAAACTGAATGAAACCCAATATTTAGGTACATTTAGGTAAGAAGGTTCCCTGAGAGATTAGAAACATAAAGAAACAAAGGTCATCTAATACCTTACTCAGAATACAACCAAGGAAACAACAAAGGCTGCCCTCATTCGGCGTTCCTATTACATGCAGTTATCCTCACAAATTAGACTTTGACTATTTTCCAAACAATAATCTTTGAAGTCTTATCTGTAATACCTGTTCTGCAATCTATAGATTTAGTATGCCATTGAGTCTATTTTCTCCGATCTTTTCGGAACTTGACGAGAATGTGGTGCTCGATGATACATCCACCCATTTTCTATACTGCTTATTCCCAACAGGGTAGCGGGGGGGATGCAGCCTATCCCAGCTGAGGGACAGAGGTAGGTGGACCCTAGACAGGTCGTGCAAATAGTCCCAAAATAAGGAGATAAACAACTGAAGAGAATCTTGGCCACTTTCCTTCTGCCAGCCTTTGTTAGGCATTGATCTGAGATAACTTTTGAAAAGATTGAGACAGCCCAGAGTTGAGTTGGAGAGGATTTTCACTCAACCCAAATTAACTTCCTACACGAGGAAACTCCAACCACTTCTTAACACCCGCCTGAGCTCTCACAGAAACCGTGTTCCTTTCTTCTCAGATCAAATGAATCCTTATAGTTAACATTTTATTTGTAAGTTTTTACATCCCGTTTGTTTTTCAATCTTATGCCTTGAAAAAGACAAAAAACAACCCCAACAGCAAAGGGTAGGGGGAAAAAAGCCGAAATGTAGTTTGTGGGAATGATGAATTAAATCAGCATGACTCATGACTCATACCTCATGACAGTGTGGCCACTGTTTAGTGTGTTTGAATGTGTTTTGGCAACGCTTGTGTCGCCCACAGACGCCCAAACTAGATCCTGATAAATACAAGAAAATGCTTGACCAGTGGTTGTCATGAACAAATCTGAACTCAGAACATTCCAAAATTACAAGGTTTCCATCTGTCAGTATGATTTTTTTTTAACACAGACAATAGCAAATTTCCAGTAGTGTTTCCAAAAGATAAGATTGAGGAGTAACAAAAAGAGGAAAGCTGTACAAGTTAGAGTCTGTGAGTCATAGTGACACATAGCTAAATCAGGAAACAATTACAAAAAAAATGTTGTTTCACAGTTTTTGGCCTGGTATGGTCTTGAATCAAATTGAATTACCTTGCACTTTCTCTCTATCCCGCTTCTGTGTAAAAGGAGTGCACCCACACACTTATAAACAGTCCAAACACTCATTTGCATATATGCATATGCATACTAATACATATGTCTACACCCTTGCAGATGTCTGCAGGAATGCCAACATGTAAGTTAGTGTGACACATTCTTACTCAATGACTGCTTTGCTTCATTCTTCTTCCTCCCTTTCAATGCTTTCTCTGTCCCTTCGAGGCAGAGCCACACTATTTGAAGACGGTGAAGTAAACAATAGTATTTTTTTTATACATATACATACATATAAGTATGTCTTATATTTACATATCTAAATGTTTCCATATATAAACCAGTTTTATGTCCAGGACCAGTGCCACAGTGCGAGGGTCACACATCAGAAGTTAGTGAAATGTGTCAGCTAAGAGACATTTTCTCTGTGGTATGTCAGGTTCATTTCTAGCTCAAAGACATTTCACGAGAAGACATAAAATGTGGGAGAGCAAGGAGTGGGTACTATGGATAGTCACATCCATATAATGTTTGTGTGTGTGTATATGAATGCCTATAACAATTATTTTTAGTAGGGTCTTGAATCAATACCTCTGGGTTTAGTCCTGAAAGGTCTTATCAAATGTCAATTACTAAGTGCACCATTCAGTGGTTGATATTGACAAGTCTAGCTGCATGGTGAAACCATAGATAGGCTGATCGACACTGTTAAGCCTGCAGCTGACAACTACTATACATTTAAAGAAATGGAAAAGTGCGATCACCGTTTTATTTGTTGAAATTTTTTGCTCAAAGAAACCTGCCACTAGAGGGCATAATTCTCCAAGATTGACAAATGCTGCATCTGTAGTGACACTGCATTCAGCTGCAGAGGAAGCTGTATGCTTGCTTTGGATTCATAATATTAGTTTGCGTGAGTTTTCGTGAACTCAATGCTTGATGCATTGTTTTATTCTTTTTTTGAACCGACATCTCAGGAAGTTACTTTTGTCACAAGTTATGATAGCATGGAGCCTAATGTTGGATGGAGCTCATCCAACATTAGGCTTTTTAGTACCCTCCTTAACAATAACAAGTGTGAAGGTAAGAGCAATGAAGAAGTAAACACCATTGCTTCTTCACTGTCTTTGCAGAGACATTTTTAAGGCATCAAAACAATTTTGTTGGGTTGACATAACTGTGCACTTTTAAGTATACTACCTAATACTTCTCAGTGAATCAGTTAGTGGTCAGGCAATAGCTTTATCTCTTATCTTTGCTAATTGTCTTCTCACTACCCCTACTAGCTTCACTATCCCTCTCTTCTGACTTGTCGCATGTATGTGTCTCTCTCAGCACATTCCTATCTTGATGTGTCATTTAGCAGCCTCACACAAACGAACATCTTTGGCCTCTCAGGAGAGTTAATGTTGGGGAGCTGGGGTGGGGTGGAAGGAAGAAAGTTGTTAAGCAACTATCTAGCATTTCTGCTGCTGATGAATGATAAATGATCTTGAAAAATAAGAAAAGCATTCGTAATCTTATTTTTATAATATGAACATCATGTAACTGCAACTCTCTTTGACAACAGGCCGTGGACAGAAAGTCTGAGCTAGTAAAACAGCCAAAAACTCGTTGAATTGTACATACAAGGTTGCCTCCAGGTTCGGCACAAGAGCTCCATTGTGAGGAATAACATCACTGTTTTAGATTAGCCAAGCACAACATGCATTTTTGTGTTTGCCCCAAAGCCAAACACTCCACTTGGGTTGTTGCATTTTCCTTTAAATGTGCTCAATCTGCCAAGGAAAAGAGCCAAATCAAAATGTGAAGAGAGGGTGGGTGCAGATTTGGCTACAGTCATTGAGGAGGCTGGAAGGTACCTAGAAAAGACTATGAGCCATTAATCTGCCATGTGAGAAGTGAATCAAGATTTCCAGTATGTGACAGCATTTCTGGGTCTTTCAGTTGGCATGGGCAGCTGTTTAAGACTAAGGTGGAGTTGATAAAGAGACAGACAAAGTATGTTTAACCCTGACTGACTGACATGAAAGGAATTCTGTTATTGTGTGTTTCTGCATGACCTGGTAAGGCTAATTGATTATGACCGATAGTAAAAACATCCAGGAAACTGTACCATGAACCATATAATGTGTCCAGAAGATGACACTTGGTGGGTCATTCAGAAGACATCACACGGGACAACCACAATTCACGCGTGTCTCACACATGAGTAAAATAGGTAGAGGGGGACTGGAAAACGCAGCCTCGCAAATGACTATTTTTTACTTTTTCCACAGCATTCTTAGAGAAACCAGCAAACTAATTTAATTTGTACTTTTAAAGTGCTGTAAATATGTAACATGATCTAATGCTCCTCTCTGGCACTGCTACATTTCTCCACCTCACTCTCACCCAGTCTCAGTCTTCACTCCCCTGCTGAGGACACCAGCCAATCACACCTCATTGAGGTCCCTCCCCTGCTCTGATAAATACCACAGAGGACCAGGGAGGGTCTATCTGCCTAACTTTCCTTCCCTAAGCAGAGTCTTTTCTCCACTCACACCACCTCAGTGCAACCATGTCTGTCAGAGCCGTGAAGACCACTACCCTCTCCACCGTGTCGTCCTCCAGGGGCCCCAGCCAGGGCTACAGCAGCCGCTCATTTTCTGGCTATGGGGGCCGTGGTGTGGGGAGTGCCAAGCAGAACTATGCTGTCCGCAGCTCATACGGAGGTGTGGGCAGCAGCGGGGCAGCTGTGGGAACTGGGGGGTTCAGGGTGGTCAGTGGGTTCGCGGCTGGTGGATCTGGACACAGAGGAGATGGAATGGAGTTTGGCTACGCGGGCTTCGGTGGAGGCCTGGGAGGATGCATGGCCAATGATATGGTGGTCCCCATCACGGCAGTGACAGTGAACAAAAGCCTGCTGGCCCCCTTGAACCTGGAGATCGACCCCACCATCCAGGCGATCCGCATCCAGGAAAAGGAGCAGATCAAGACCCTAAATAACCGTTTTGCTTCCTTCATTGATAAGGTCAGTCAACTTGAAATTTACCTGATGTCCTGCCAAAGCAAGACCTTTATTGTTTGAAAATATCACAGATGAAACATGTTTGAATGCAAAAATAGCAATGAATGCAGAAAAGACGTTAATGCAATAACTTAAATTATCCTTAAGAAAATTCTGTTTATAGCAATGTGCCATCTCTGGGGAAAATCTGCTGAGGATATTTCTTCATGTCAAAGATGGCCTGGTTTTCAAAACATTTTTTCTTACTGTAGGTAATATCATAGAGCTCAGATAGGAGGATCATTCTTGATCCAGGACAGACATAAAAAGCAAAACCTTTTTTGCTTCAAGGGTTTCATCCTCCTCCAGAATAATATGCAGCAAAAACAAGCAAAAAAATGGAAGAAATTTCAAAAGGCTCCTTTTTATCCTACTTGTCGAATTTCCAACTTCCAAAGTTTGTTGCAAAGATATCTACTGTATGCATAAACCCTGAGAACTGATATGAGTTTTTAAAAGTCTGCATTAGACAAGTAAAAAAAATTGTGAATAACTTGAACAATGCTTTTCTTATGAGGCCACACAATGGTCAACAGCGCCATTTATCTTAAAGAAGAATTAATCATTGTTAAAACAAACCTCCATTATACACGGTTTAAGAAATATCCCTTTGAGAAAAATCTTACCAAACATCTTATGAAACAACAGCCTGCTTTATTTCAGTAGCTGACCAGATTTTTCAGTTCACTGTCTCTCCTCAAATGTTTTCTGTTGGAGGAGTCACACACAAGTGATGTAGAAGAGAAGCCTACTTGTAAATCAATCTTCTGATGGTTAAATAAAGCTGTCTCCAGCTCCTCATACTATTGTGGCACACAAGCATCGACACACTGAACTGTGTGTTTGCTGAGTGGTAGCAGGACCCCACCCAGGGTCAGCATGGTAAAAAGAAACGTTGTAAAGGGGCGACTGCAACACAGTGCTGCATTGTTTTAAAGTCAAGATAGCAGGAATTGACGTGACATTTCACATATATTCAATCATTCATTATTTATGGTTGATATTCAAGTTTTTGTTCTCATTAACAAAAAATCCTATCTGAGTCACTCCCCCTCTTGACATCCATTATATCTATCTCTGTTACATATTTCTATGAGCAGCCAGTGTATCTTCTATATGATAGAAAATGCTGATAATAATAATGATGATAAAAAGAGACAAGAACAACAATAATTCATGAACCATTCTACTTCCAGGTACGTTTCCTTGAGCAGCAAAACAAAATGCTCGAGACCAAGTGGAAGCTCTTGCAGGAGCAAACCACGTCTCATTCCAACATCGATGCCATGTTCGAGGCCTATATAGGCAACCTCCGCAAGCAGCTGGACAACCTGGGGCATGAAAAACTCAAACTGGAATCTGACCTCAATCACATGACAGGCCAGGTGGAGGACTTCAAAAACAAGTGCGTAGAGCATCTGACAGTAGTTTCAGTTCTCCTAAAATGTTGTACTTGATGTCTCAATCTTTCCTGTTTTCCCAGGTATGAAGAAGAAATCAGCAGGCGTAATGAGTGTGAGAACAATTTTGTTCTCATGAAAAAGGTTTGAGCACATTTTTTTTTGCATGCTCGTGATCGAGCATCTGGTAAAGTTTGTTCACAATGACATGCTATATTGGAGAATGTTATGTTTTTCTCTGAAGGACACAGATGCTGCCTACATGGTCAAAGTGGAGTTGGAGACCAAACTGGATGCTCTTTCTGATGAAATCGAGTTCCTGAGGCAGCTATATGATGCAGTACAAACCTTATGTTTCATTCATTCAATTGCTGAAATGCTAAAGTTGGTTGTTGCCTATTTTTAGTTGTTTGACTTTCTTTTATTTTTATAGGAAATCAGTGAACTACAGAGCCAGATAAAAGACATATCTGTGGTGGTAGAGATGGACAACAGTCGTAAACTTGACATGGATGCCATCATAGCTGAAGTGAGGGCTCAATATGAAGAAATCGCTAACAGGAGCAGAGCAGAGGCTGAGTCGTGGTACCAGAACAAGGTAGCAGTACTTGTTGCACTATATGAAATCCAGGTTGATTTCCTACTGACTCATGTACAGTGTTATGGAAATGGTTCGGCCCATTCAATGGTTACAACTTTTATATGCTGCAAAATGCTTTTGTTGCTGAAAAAAGCAGCAAAACGTAGTCACCTGTTTTTGACATTGTAGCCAGCTGTTGTAACATGTCTTGTTGACTTTCACTCCACATTTTGGTTTGTTTTTCATTGCCCCAGTTTGCAGAGATGCAACAGTCTGTTGGTAAATATGGTGATGACCTGAAGTCAACCAGGGCTGAGATCGCTGACATGAACCGTAAGATAATGCGCCTCCAATCTGAAATTGACATGGTCAAAGCACAGGTGAGAGTTCAGCTCTATAGCTATATACACCAACACATGAGACTGACATTTGGCTCTCTTTTATTTGATAATTATTATTTTTGATGACAATCTGCGAAAATTTAGAACCATGTTTGTAGTGCCTAATAAGGAACAGTTAAACCTCTGGCCCACACTTCAGCGTTTTTGTCCCTCCACCCTCAGCGAAACAGTTTAGAAGCTCAGATTGCAGAGGTTGAAGAGCGGGGTGAACTGGCGGTGAAAGATGCTAAGCTCCGGATCAGAGACCTGGAAGAAGCCCTCCAGCGAGCGAAACACGATATGGCCCTGCAAGTCCGCCAGTACCAGGAACTGATGAATGTGAAGCTGGCTCTGGATATTGAAATTGCTACTTATAGGAAACTGCTTGAAGGAGAGGAGAGCAGGTATATTTTTACTGTGAAGAGACATGTGGGCCTGTGGGCCTGTGTTTGTAATGATAACTAACTGATTTAAAAAAAAACATTTTTTGTGCTTCTGCAGGTTAGCAACCGGAATCACAACAAATGTGACCAAGCAAACTTGTGAGTTCATCTTCCACCTCCAGACAAATACTTTTTTTCCCATGTTACTATAAAACTGTGTTTAAAAAAACGAGTTAAACAATATAAATCTCTATCAGGATATCAGAGTTATGACAAATCTGCTCTTTAAAAATTATTTTGGTGTATTTGAAGCAAAATAAACATTCAATAACCATCTTTATCTGAATGCATAGCTTCCAACTACAACGCATACTGCCTGGAGAGTTCTCACATCCCGTCCTATGTTAGCTCGTCCTTTGATGGAATCAAATCTACCAGTGGGACGGTCTCAGCCCTCGAAGGCGCTACGATGAAAAGCACCACGATAACCAAGACCGAAACTGTGACAGTCAAGAATGAAGAGATTAAGAAGGAGGAGGAACAGAAGGAGCAGCCGGCAGCGAGTGAGGAGCCAGCTGCTGTGGAGAAGAAGGAGCAGGAGGAGGCAGAAGCTGGGGCAGAAGAGTGATGTTTCAACAATGCTTCAGAGAATACATCACTGATGACGGAAAATAAGGAAAATCACAACTGTTTTACCTACTGAGAGATAATTGTTTCCTTCAGTAAGTGTTTGATTGTAAGAGGAAATGCAGTTTCAATCCTGTTTTCTCCAATAAGGCCGTCCTTAATAATTTTTACGTGAATACATTTATAGCTGTCAGATTTAGTCACTGTCTAATGTTCAGCAGTTTCTGTACCACGTTTCTTCAGGCAGCAGGTGGCACTATTATAAAGCTCTGTGGTGTGAACCTGCAGTTTGAGAAAGAAGTCATTTGGAGAGAAAAAAAACATTTACCAAACCGCACTATAAAAAGATATTCATAAAAGTCCCCATGTCTTCTGTTGTTGTTGGCAGCACTCTGAATCACAACAATAAATGATCTTCTGACATAAAAAAACACAGTTGTCTGATGTAAATGCATGGAGAAGGTGAAAGGCTTTGGTTCGTTGCACTTTTCTGAAAAGCATAAGCGCTTACGTGTTTTCTCTTTTATTAGAGTTTGACAGTAAAAAGCTCACATTTAGGGAGAGGGTGACAGCTATCAAGCTTTGCTCAGCAGTGCCTGACAAGTATCAGCCTGCCTGGCTCCAGGTTCAGTGTAGGAGTTTAGCTTTGATTATCATGCATTTCTAGTAATAAACATTATGTTCACATTTAACAGGTTTAATATCTACTGTGATAAAGTAGGCATTTAAGTAGATATCTCAGAAAGGCCCAACAAATGTTTTCCAATATGTGGACCGATTCGAAGAGAGGTATAAAACACGAAGAACTGAGATGATCCTAAATCTAAAAGTGGCCATAAGTGACATGACGTGTTCCAAGATGTAGGGACTTTTTTTTCTCTTTGAGAAAAACACATAAGTAGCTCTCTTGAGTTCAGAGTGGAACAGGTTTGAACACGATTTATGAGTGGTGGTGCCCCGCCCAAGGCCATACAACCTCTCATGTAGTTAACAACAGAAAACTTCATAAATCCCACAATCCCACCCACTGCTCACCATTCTGACGGTGCTACTTACTTAAACTGGGACAGACTGTAGCATGTTAATCACTCAATCAACCACAGGATCAACTCTGGTTCATGCAGAAGTTGACCCTTGATGACAAAAGCAGATGAAAACTGCTTTTATGTCCTTTCAGAAATAAAACTGTAAAAAAAAAAAAAGGCACTTTCTAGAATTCAGTAAATGCATTTGCAGTCGAAATGCAGTATCGCACAACAGATTACAACGTAAGTGAGATGGACCTCAATGATACACAGATGAGATGAGAGATATATTCAGTAATGTATGACCGCAGACAGCTAGCTTTCATCTGAGGGTTGTTGACAGGCTTTGTCTGAAACTCACGTGCAAACTGTTAATATTTGAATGAGAGAGAAATACAAAGATCACACTTTAGTAGGGGTTGTGAGCATTTCCTGGACTGTAACTTAAGCCCTGTTAGGCTTGGTGTGTTGTTGGATGCAGAAAGTTATAGAATGTTATTTGTTATATGTTACACACCTGACTCACATCAAGGTGCCATTGTCAGGCTTGTGCAGAACTTTTGAATTGATCCATTTCATCTGTCAGGTGAGCAGAAACAGGGGAACTTTTAAAACCTGCAGGACTGTGGCCTTGAGGACTGCAGATGGACACCCCTGGTGTAAATGTTCAGTGGATAAATGCTTCTTTCAAGTTAAGCATAAATCATCTCACAAAGCATTCTTTTAAACCTGTGGAACCTTTTTAATTTAAGTAAAACCTGAGACTATCATCATCAACATTTTTGCTGGGCTGTGCAGGTGTGGGTTAGACTGAACAGACTTATTTTGAGGCTTCTACTGCCAACCAAACTCATGATCCCTTTAATCCCTTAATTAATTCAGCGATACATTGCAACATTCGTTCAGCAAACTGCTGTGTGATCTGCCCAGAGGTTGGACATAAACGCATACTCTGCACATGATGGACCAAACAAAGCCCCTACAACCTCCTGCTAGTTGTGATACACTAAGACCTATAGTAGCCTATAGGTCTTCTGTTGTTAAAGGAAAAAGTATTCTACAGCTTACCTTCAAAAACTGACACACTTGCGCAACATTTTGTCTACACCTGGGGGTCACATGTTTGTCAAAGTGACAAGCTGAAAGTGGTAAAACATGTAATGGTGTGTAGTATAGGGCGAGGCTAAAGAATGTAAAGAGAAAGAATGAAATACCTTGCCTCCTCCTCAGTAACTACTTGATAACGGAGGGTTAATGGCATGTCATGTAGTTACAAGTACAAGTTTTACCTTTATTCTAAAAGCACAATACGCTTCTGTCTGCAGCTATGTGTTGGAATTCCCTGCAGAGTAAATACGTTCACACCTGAATGAAAAAGAGAGAAAACGCCTTTCTGTTTCACTGAGTGGCCGCGAGGCAAATTCTGTAACACCACATTGGATGAAGAAAGTTTATCTCAAGCTTTTGTATGGATGGTTATTAAACATTCCCCGCCACAAAATCTTTTAAAAAGCAGCAATATCTCACAAGTTTTTGACCAACTGTACTAAGATTAAGATATACAACTTCCTTTGTGACTGTTGGCTAATCCTTCTGTAATGGAAATGTGATTTGATTAGCCTGAATGCATGAAGATACAATTACAATACAAAACATGCAGATGCACTTACAACGAAATTTATAAAGACAACAATTATACATAATTCAATAATCTATTTTAGGTGCATAAATAAGTTTAAATGTTTGATTTTAAAGATTTGTAAAAAAAAAAAAAAAAATGTATTAATGTCTTTTACATGCAGTAACTTAGTACACAACCATGTAATGGAAATTATTTTTAAACTGTATCTTAATTCAAATAATTGTTTAATGTTATTGGATTGTTCTGCAGGTGAATATGATTTAATGATCACATAAATAGTGGAATTGAAGCCTGCTGTGTGTGGATGTTGGCAGACAGGTGAATGCCCTGAGCACTTTTCTGAAGGACTCGGTGCAGGCAGTTATCAAAGAACAAATACGTCTCATTAAACTTACTTTTGTTTCTACATTTATTCTCTGGTACAATGCTCTTTTTCTTCATTTAAGCCCGTTTTCATTACAGACTATTATCAACTTCAGCACAGAGCACACAAGTGTTGCTGAAATGTTCTTTGCTTTCCCCTGGAGACATCTCGATTCTGCCAATTACTTTATTACCTGAACGTGTTTTGTGGGATTCAAGTCAAGCAACATACTTTGTCAGCTCATAGTTTTAGCTTGCTAACTCCTTCAGATTGTTTTGTGTGCTGTTGGCTCTGTGCATTGGCCTGTTACCATGCTGGAATATTCCTCCCAATCTGCAGGAACATTTCTGTAGTATCTCATTAGATCATATTCACAATCAAGAATATTTTGGTGTGATTCTCAGTGATGCACATCATTATAATCCTGAATTTAGTTGCCTTTCCTTAAGGTCTCAGGACTATACCCAGAACCATTTGCAGTTAATTTCTGTTGGCCCTTTTGCTTTAAAGCATTCTTAAAGCATAACCTCTATCCTCCATGCTACACTTTCAGGAATGCTCATTCACTCCACTAGTCCTCAGCAGGTTCACAATATTTTAATAATGTGAATGTTTAAAAAAAATAAATCAAAATGCAGACAAACTGGAAACTGTTAGAGGATCAGAAGTTTGGATACATTACAAGGAAAGGTGAGATAAACTATTTTCAAAATCACAGAAGGTAAACTCAAATAAAGGGTCTAGAACGAAGACCACTGGAATTCTAATGAGTCAACACTAAAACAGAGAGAGAAACAGCCATCACAAACCCATAGACCAAGACACAAACAAGTGTAAACACATCTGTCATATTCTAAACTGAGGTTAAAATGCTCCCTTAATCAGGCTTTCATTTCAGTACTCAATTACTTTTTGTACACATACATCCACATCAATATTCTGACAGTTGAGTAATTGCGAAAACATTTTGCATAATTATCAAGTATATCAATCTAATCTACTTAATCTGCGCAGTAACATAATAAAAATAAATTAAGTGTAACATTAAGTCAGTTATTATAGACACTTCTAAATACCACTAGAGAGACAGGGTATATTTTGGTGTCTTTCTTTTATGTTGTAGACATGTAAACTGTCAAATTTAATAGTATTTATGTGTTAAGACCTTGCTGGCGGCAAAACAGCAAATTCTTCCATCAGTTTGTCTCTTTAAGAATGTGTCTGTACATGATTTGATGCTAAACGTACAAGACTGGCATGTGCTTTTAACCTTAGAAAAAAGGGGGGGATCCCTTTTTGCAACCTTTAGTAATTTGTCTGAATTCCTTAGTAATTATAGAGCAAAGGAAACTGCCAGAAAAAAGATAAATATCCCTTTGAGTACAGGGTATTTAAATGTGTAGAGATGAAATGGAGGTGTGTCACTTTTCCCTCACAAATGCAACACAGGAAACACAAAAAATGTTTTCAGTTTGAAATGAGACATTGCGGAGTTCACGCTGAAGGACATCCGCATGCATTTGAAAATGAATTCTCCCTCAGTATCAACAAAAAATAACATCTTTAAAAGAAAGATAATAAATGACAAATGTGTTGTACTGAAATGCATTGACTGCATAAATGCGCTGGAACTATCGTAGAAAAATTCAGCAGCTACTTTGGACACACCTGGATTGATACCATTCATGAGCATAGCACTTAGCAAAAGTTGTTTGAACAAAAGAAGGTGAGGAGGTTGAAGTAAATCAATGGGTCCTTCACAACCCAGGGGTTGCACCCCTCTCAGCAATTCAAAGTATTTAAGGTTTGTTTTTTAAACAACTTGAAATGTTCGCTGCAAGATGACAGCGGCATGCTGTTTAATGTTGCTGATTGCTGTCATTTTTCACTGACACTTCCTGACATGCAACTTTGAGCAGTAGGCCATCTGCAAAAGACAGGAAGGGAAAGATAGACTCATTTACTGCATAACCTCAGGGGCACAACCAAATTACATCTGCTGGCCAGACTAACCATGTCACCTGTAACAATCTGGTTCCTATCTTGTGGGTTATCAAAGTTCTGATCTAAAAAACATAGACTGCCCTAATGCTGGTTAAGGTCTGGTGTGTTGCTTTTGGTGTTCAGGAAGTGTTGGAAGACATCCATGCAACAGATGAGGGATTCTGCCTTCACTGTAGCTTCATGAAATAAAAAAAATTGCCTTCTTCGGGATAATGTACTTTATGTTTACAATTATCATTTGGCATGTTCTCCATGTTTATTCCTGGGTTCTCTCAGGGCACTCTGGCTTCTGCCCACAGTCCAAAAAAACATTAATGTCAGGAAATTGAAGACTTCCTATTGTCTGTTGAAGTGAATGTGTGTGCGAGTGGCCCTGTGATGGACAGGTAGGATTGGATAT